GAAACACTCATTCTCTACTACTAGATTCGTACCCGGCCCGTTGGCCGGATGCATTTCATAAATGGTATAAACAATAATAGCAATTTGTTCGAAGCAATATGAACCTGGCCAGTTGGTCGGATTCATTTTACATGTTGCAAAATAATGAGTAGCAAAAGTCAAACAAAATATATTTTTATTTGGTAGAATAAGAGAATTCAAATTATTTAGTAATCATTGTAAAAAAAAATTATTTAGCAATTGGTAACTACATTCAAAAGGATTAACATCATAGTAATTTTTAGCATCCTAACCAGTTCATCAGCTAAAATCCTTTACATAAAAGGCAGACTTCGAACCAAGGAGCCAACTCCTAAAAACTTATGAAAATGACACTTCTATTTACTCCACTTTGATAGAAATTACTGCATATTTTCTTGGCTTTGTTTGGTTTCCTCTGCCATGAGCAAATCATAATCTCCATCAATAACAACACATTCATCTCCATCAGTGACACTGGCACCTCTATATCAATTATCAGCTGTCTATTCCATATTTTATTGTATTCCAATGATCTCTTCTTTTTTCTCATGCATTTGATCGAATTTAAAAAACTAATTGTAGAATATTATCAAATATATAGCACCATTTTTTGCTAAGTAGAATTTACCTCGTAAAATTTATGAATATTTTCCGCAATTTGCTTTATTTCGCTATCACTGCAATTTGCTTATTTGTAGGATAATATATAGATTGAAAACAAACATGTACTCAATCGATTGTCATTAGAAATGTTGATAATTCCCTTTTTTTTCTTATGTAAAGAGCTTATTTCCTTGGTGATCTTATTAATGGTTGATCAATTCTCTTCAACTCTTATTTGTGTGGATTAATTTATGAAAATGTAAGATATAAAGCAATACTTTTGTGAGATGAACAATGGAAAATGGTTAGAAATCATAAGCAATTAATAGTTACCATAGATGTTCATTAACAATGTCGGAGATAGAAATTTGATGAGTGGGCTGACTTGAACTGTTATAATTGGAGGAGGGGGCTAAAGCTTTATCGACTACTCTATTAACTAAATTTGTTGCGGATTTTATATTTAAGGTTATTTATATTTCAAATTTGAGGGGATGGGAAGGGGAGCTATAGCCCCTCCTGCCTCCAACTTAGCTCCTCCACTATGGTCATACCATCTGAAAGCTTATTTGCGCTTCAGACATAGATAGTTCTCCACGAAAAGTATTACTTAGAGGTGTCAAATTGCCAAAAATAATTCTAAATAATATAAAAATTAATTTGGCTAACCTTAGACATATGTAGTTCTTTGATGAATAACCCATCCTAACCATGTGTTGTTGTGATTTTGGTGCATAGTCAATTAGTGTAAAACTAATTGGCAAAAGACATGGAACAATGAATTCATGCCAATTTAATTAATCGAAGCATATTAATTAAATTCAATGGCTTCTCTTGCAAAAAAGAAAGCTTGACCATAAAGCAATGATTGAAAAACCGTATTGGAGATTGTACCGGAAATTCAGTTATAGGTTATTTTATGCTGAAATCGTGGTTTAACCATAGTTCAACCGTTTCATATCGTAAAATACCATCTACCAATTTAACTTCCGGTATAAAGTTTTTCTAGTTGAGTTGTCGATACGGTAAAGTTTTTTTAACCATTGTCATAAAGGCTTTCGACATAGCGATTTTTTTGATTGAGTTCAGATAACCACTGTCTTTTTGGTTTTTTATTTTTGACTTTGTTAAAATTATTGTTTAATAATGTTGCCGTGTAATTGATTTTCCTTTTCTATATTAAGCTTCTGCTTAGATCAAAACAATAAAGCTTGCAGAGAAAAGAAACCAACGTCCTTAATTAAATAAAAACCCTAAAAATTATCCAGGCCCATTAAACATTTAGACCCACAATTATACACAGCAAAAACAGAAGCCTGTTTTCTGCATTAAAAAATTAAAAAGTAAAAAGACAAAGGACCCCTTCCTCCTTTTGCGCAGAAGCCTGGAAAAAGTGAATGGGGTGGGTCTTCGCTGGGAACCTCCATATATTGATTGGAGGATTACATGACATTCTGTGTGGCAGTGATTCGTAAGCAGCACAACGTTCACTTTATTATGTGAGAGCTCATAATACTTTGTAGCGTTTGTATTATCTCGTTCACTTTATTATGTGAGAGCTCATAATACTTTGTAGCGTTTGTATTATCTCGTACCTTATTTGAGATGTCATTATTTGAGATGTGCAACTTTAGTGATGGGAGCTTCATGAATGGGGAGGGAGCAAATTGTGGGTGCTAAATAATAAAAGCTAAAGCCTTGACATTTGTGAACTAGGGTCTAAGTCATAGTTTGATGCCAACAACTCTGGAACATGAACTGAGGATCATCTACTCTATATGGAGTTGTTCTACATTGGGTGGGCAACAGTAAGATGATTTCGATGAAGCATAAGAGATTGACATTCTAGGTCATGACTTGAGATATATCATGACTAGTAGTCTCGAACTTAAAACATTTGAGAAAAATTCAACTGAAATTATGCCACGAGATCTAATCAATGATAAGAGACAAACCTCGCAAAACTCAAATTAGTTAGGGACGAAGTGAGGGAACACTCAAAATCAAGCCATAAAGTTGGCGTAGCAAAACCCGAGGCTACGTATAGTCGTATACATATACCCTGTAAGTCTCGTGGTTATATTTATCGCATTTAGATAAAAAAAAAAAGCAAGCAATGTGAAAACTCAAAAAATTAATTGATGTGATTATCATCTTCACAAAAAAGGTAAGTCAGGTGATTATCATCTTCATATAAATAAGTAAGTTAAGTTTGAGAAAAACCTAATTTTGTTGAAGGGATAAATTGAAAAGAAAATCATTGTAAATTTGTCTTCTCAATAATCCATGGGCTAATTTATGAAGTGATCGAAATGACAAACATAAAAACTATGGGCTAATTATCAATAATATTAATTTTTATCAGAAAAGTGTATTTACTTGAGTTATTTTCCCCCCTAACTTAAATATTGAGAAAGTAGATGAAACAAAAATGTCCCTTTCTCAAACAAAAATTTCTCCAACGATTGCAAAGAAAGAATCTTGCTGGATTATGCAAAAGGGATCTTATTAACTGAAAAAACAAACTAATAAAGAAAAGAAAAGAAATTCGAGCGCATAAAATATTACGGCAACGCTTTAAATGAAGATTTTTGGTCCATGCGTCTACATTAGAAGACGAATCACATACCGAGGAGAGGATGATACAACTTGGAATCATATGAAGCCGGCTATATGCAACGTTTTTTACGTCTCACAAAATGAAAAGAAATTATGAAACACGTAACAAGCAAAGGACTACCGCGTCTTATCACGATCATCAGACCAAAAATCCACCTTGTTATTAGGAAACTAACCATAAAAAATTAAAAACACTAATGCTCTGTTTACGGAGAGAATATTATTAGTATGTTGTGTAAGATTTATTATGAAATCTTTCCCAACAATTTAAGTTATTGGAATCAACTAGTTCTTGACAAACATTCAAAGAAGGAACATGTCTCGATTAGGATGAACATTCAAGAACATCTCGAGAAGTGGCAACACAAGTGGCATGTTGCCAAGAGATTCGATTCTCGAAAGACAATCTCATTCCTAACATTCTAGATGTTTTAACAGAGAAATACAACATGAAGAACATTCGAGGGTTACAAATTTACCTTCAATGGGCAAAATCAATCAAAGAAAGTCATAGAATGAAAGGGTCGGAGTTAATCGATTTATTGATAAAGTGAGGCAAATCTTTTAGTGTTACCAAATCCCTTAATTATTCTGCTTTGTTCTCAACAATATCTTACTATGAACCCAACAAAAGGGTACAAAGAACAGGTCAAATAATATTGTAGTTGTAGTTAGTGCTTAAGTTCCTGTAGATCAAACTTAAGTCTAAAATGATTGCTCGTATAGTCTCCACGTAGTGTCCTCGTTCCAATCTGAAATGAATACATCCCACTACTAATCTCAATATGTTATGTCAACTTGATTGCACTAGTAAAATACTTATGAACTGTAGATACAGTTACATTACATCTCTAATTTATCGAGTGAAAAATATTCAATCTTATGTATGATTTTTCTCCTTTTCATAAAAAAAAAAAAAATGAACGAGAAATATCAACAACGTATGTAATGATGTAGAAAAGTAAAAATGAGGAGGGGAGAGGGTAGTAAGGTTATCAAATCGGATTACTTTGTTGAGCCGGTCAAACAAATGGTTTGAGGTCCATCTGATTTAAGTCAATTATCCATGTATAAAAAAATATATGCATATATGTGGTAATCATTTAAAATTTTAATAACCTGAATATAATTTGATAGATACTATACAATACTTATAATAATTCATATATATTATCTTGGGTTAATTGCATGGTTGGTCACTGAGATTATAAAAAACGTTCATGTTTGGTCACTCGAAATTTTTAAATTCATTTTTGGTCATTAACTTTACAAAAACCGTTCATTCATGGTCACTCTCCGTTAGCTGCCGTCCAACGCCGTTAACGGCGTCCGTTAAGTGATGATGTGGCTGACGGATTTGCCTAATCAACACCTTTTAACCCGAAAATTGACTGACCCGACCCGCCACGTCATTTAAACCCTCCATGTCAGCTAAACTTAACCAAACCAGACCAGACCAGACCCGACCCGACCCAACCCACCAACAAAAACGACCAACCCACCACTAAACAAAACCTAATTTCTAAAACCCTTCAGCACATTCCCCTTCTCCATCCCGCGCCGCCTTCAAGTGCATCTCCCGCTCCTCCGGCGACTCCTTCGCGGTCAAATCGATCGACAAATCCCTCACCGCCGGTGACTCCCTCGACGCCCAGTGCCTCCTCACCGAGCCCAAGGTCCTGGGCCTCGTCTCGCCGCACCCTCACCTCGTCCAGCTCCACGCAACCTACGAGGACGATTCCCACCTCCACATGGTGATGGATCTCTGCCCCAACTTCGACCTCCACGCCCTTATTCTCGCCAACGGCGCTGCCTTTGCGGAGAATGAAGCCAGATCCATTCTCGCCCAATTGATGACAGTCGTCTCCCACTGCCATAAGAAGGTGGTGATTCACAGGGACATCAAGGCCGACAATGTGCTGTTCGATTTGTGGAATTCGGTGAAATTGGCATATTTCGGGTCGGCGGAGATGGTGGTCGGGGGCGAGGCGGCGACCGGAATTGTGGGGACTCCGTACTACGTCACGCCGGAGGTCTTGTCTGGGTGGGAATACAGGGAGAAAGTGGATGTGTGGAGCGCTGGTGTGGTTTTGTACATAATGCTCGCCGGGTTCCCGCCGTTTTACGGGGAGACGGCGGTGGAGATCTTCGACGCCGTGTTGAGGGCGAATATCAGGTTCCCGCTGAGGGTTTTCCAGTCGGTTTCGCCCAAGGCTAAGGATCTGCTGAGGAGGATGCTGTGTAAGGATGTCTACAGGAGGTTCTCTGCAGAGCAAGTGCTCCGTAAGTTCTTAAAAAACAGAGACACTCTGTTTTTTGGCTCTGTTTATCCCAATTTCTTATTCTAATTGTTTCCTTCATTTTCCAAACACAAAATCAACGAATTTCCTCGGGAAATTAAGCGCTACCCATGTTATGAGATGAGGGCAGAAAGAAAAGGGTGCGAGGATTTCATCTCTACTGCCGCATATGAGTTTCAGTGTCTCAAGATTCTGACCTCTGATTTTTTCTCCAAATTTGTTGCAGGGCATCCATGGATGACTATGGAGGAGTAACCTGAATCGCAAATGAATTGGTAGAGCGTGTAGAAAAAAAAGAGTAAATAGAGTGGACTGCGGCTTGCAACAGCTTTCGTGTATTGTACATGGGGAAGGGTCGGCGCGGGATGGTGAAGGGGAATGTGCTGAAGGGTTTTAGAAATTAGGTTTTGTTTAGTGGTGGGTGGGTTGTTTTTGTTGGTGGGTCGGGTCGGGTCGGGTCTGGTCGCGAATCTGTCAGCCACGTCATCACTTAACGGACGCCGTTAACGGTGTTGGACGGCAGCTAACGGAGAGTGACCATGAATGAACGGTTTTTGTAAAGTTAATGACAAAAAATGGATTTAAATATTTCGAGTGACCAAACATGAACGTTTTTTTATAATCTCAGTGACCAACCATGCAATTAACCCATATTATCTTAGACTAAACAATGTGTATATATGCTTCATTTTTTACTATAGAATTTGGGAGAGAGCCAAAGTGCGATATTATATCTACGAGTAGGATACCGGTCAAATTACTAATTATTAAGATGACCGGCTACAGATTGAAGACAAAATAACTTTTCATTTGCCATTTTGAACACCTATTTCGATTGAACCTGATTCAACTGGCCGGCACAACACTGGGCACAATATAGTGCAAATATACAATACAATTATACAACCAAACGTGTCGTACGAGGAAAGAAAAGAGAGGTGGTGGAGTTGAGTTCCGCGGATTTCCGTTAAAACCTGTGTGCCTTTGGGCGGGTACCTCTCTCTCTCTATTTCCTTCCATCGACTTGTCAGTTACCCTCTCTCTCTCTAAGTAGTAACGACTTCCTCCTGTTTTCCTCCGCTGCCTTTTACTCCAGATCCCATCCATCCATCCATCCAACCTCTCCTCATCCACCTCTTACCTTTCCATCTCCTCCAAATCCCTCTATTTTACCACTAAGTCAATTTTATATAAATACTTTCCAAAATGATTTTGCTAATTAAATCACCATATTAATAAAATTAATATCATATCAACTGCACATTTACCCTTTCCTTACTGAATTCTGAATGCTAGTTTTACACATCTGTTTTACTTCCTAACCCTAGTTACTCTGCATTAATAATAAAAGCTTTTAGGCCTGCCACCGCCAATCAAAATCGACGAAAATAAAAAAAAGTATGGTTTTTTTATAAGAAGAAATTTCTTGTTCTTAATGGGTTTCGGTCCCATGAACATCCAGAGTGCATGAAAGTGAAACCCTTTTGTTCAATTGAATCACAAAAATCCATCACAGCCCCATTCTTTCTTTTCTTCAGGTATATCCCTTGTTCCTCTTCCTACTCCTTCTTTCTTTTGGGTTTTGCAGTTTCTTCCATGCTTTTGTTTTTCTGTAGATATATATGGTGAGACCTTCACCTGCTCTTTCAATTTTTCTTCCTTAGAAAATTTTGTCTTTTTTCCTGTAGAGTTTTCCTCTTGATCAGGTTATGATATTCCTTGCATATTGTGGGAGGGTTCCTTTTCTCTTTTTATGGAAGTATTTTTGGTTTTATCCCACCAATCCTCTTGAGAAAATAAGGAGGGTTTGTTTGAATTAATTGCCATTTGTTAACTGAATGGAATCCCTATTGTGTAAGCTGAAAGCGGGGTAATTCTAGTTTGGAAACCGATTGGCATTCTGGGCAATCGTAGTTATTTTTCTCCCTTTTTTCTTATTGCGGTTATCCAAAGTTTCTCCCTTTGCCCACCTGGATTTACAAAGGAGAAGATTCTGTTTTGGGAAAGACTTTGGGTGCTGAAGGGTTCCTTTGTTTTTCGAGGAGGGCAGAGGAGAAGGTGGAGGTGGGGGAATCAGGGTGTTTGGATTCTGAGAAAATTGTTTTGTGATCTGTTTTCTTTGCCTGTTATGATAAAAGGGATGTGCTTCCTTTTTTTTTTTGGTAGGGTTCCCAGATTGTTGATTCAATACCAATGACACCATTGAAATCTGCTCCAGACCCCAAAAATAAGGAGGTTAGTTGTGATCTCGCCTCTTGTTATTCCGTGAATGTGTTTTTGCCCTTTAGGGTTGTGTTCATTGACAGAATCAGGTTTTCTTTCCGGATAGCATCTCTCTGCATCTGAATACTTGTAGATCTGATGCAGAATTCTGCTCTGATTTTCAATAAACAAATCGGCTGCATTATGCCAATGTCGAATTCGTTTGATCCTAGTATTGAGCTTAAGGCATGGAATTTTTTTTATCACCATTACTTGAATGGATCAGGATCTTTCTGTCTGGGGTGCTCGCTATGCTGATTTTTTAATGCTCGTAAATGTTGGAGCTAGGTTTTATGCGATCAGGAGGAAGGCATGTTTTGGGTTTGGGTGCCGTTGTTAGTATAGAAGAGATTAAACATCTCGGCAAAGCTTTAACTTCCTGAGATGCTCGAGGTTTTTGACTTCTTGATTGGCCCTTCAAGGAGGAAGCTTCACATCACCAAATTTTGTTTTAGCATCCTTAAAGTCTCCTGCTTCTCTCTGATATGCAAATTGAGTGTATGCCATTTTATGATCTGTCCTCATATGATAGCAGGCTGCTTCTGTTTATGTTACAAAGTTAGGCATAACAGTGACTTAAGCTGTTGAATACCATTTGTGTTGAAGCTTCATCAAGGGCATGAAAAGATTCCTTAGCACTTAGAATACCGTACAACCAATTTAAGTGTCCGATTGTTCTAGTAGCAGGCTTCGGGTCTCTCCATTGAGGCACTTCACTGCATTTGATTTCTTTTGAGTCCCACTCAGTTGTCATTAGATGATCTCACGAAGCTTTTCATTGGTATATTTCTGTTGTTCTGTGTACTACTATGTAATTTCACTGATCTTTTGTGTACTGTATCACTTAATGAAGTGCAATGCCTGGCTGCAATCATGATCTTATTCTTAGCTAATGGTATACATTCTGACTAAAACATGTATTGCAGGAGCATTCTGTTAAGCTTTCCCCAAAAAAGGAGACTCCGACTGACTCCCCAGGAAGTCCACGAAATCGAAAGGTATATATAGAGACATAAGACCTTATACTTTTTCTTGGAAGCATGATTTGCAGTTGGATCTTTTAATTCATTATCCCCTGGCGAGTAGAGTAATATGGTTCCTCAATATGCTTCTAGGTAACTGCCAGATGGGAGCCAGATGAACCATGCAGACCTGCAGTTGATGACGCTCCTGTATTTTATCCTACTGCCGAGGTATATATTTCTTATTTTCTCTCATGAAAATTGGAAAAATTGGCTGGCATTTTTGTCTTGTTTTTTCAAACATGTAAAATGCTCAATTCATTCAGGAATTTGAGGACACGCTTGGCTACATATCAAAGATACGTGCAAAAGCAGAACCATTCGGGATATGTAGAATTGTTCCTCCAGCTTCCTGGAGGCCACCCTGCCATCTTAAGGAAAAAGAAATATGGGAAAATGCCAAATTCTCTACAAGGATTCAGCAAGTCGACTTGCTTCAAAATAGAGAACCCATGAGGAAGAAACACAAAAGCCGAAAGCGGAAGAGGAGGCGGCACTCTAAGTTTGGGAACACGAGGAGACGCACCAATTCATGTTCAGCAGGAGCAAATGTTGTTCCCGAGAACGAGGAGAAGTTTGGGTTCCAGACGGGATCCAATTTTACATTCGCTGAGTTCCAGAAGTATGCCGAATATTTCAAAGCATGTTACTTTCAAAGGAAAGATTCCTCCGGAGAGGATGTCAAGGAAGAACATCAGAAGTTTGAGCAGCCTCCACTTGATGTCATTGAAGGTGAATATTGGCGAATCATTGAGCAACCAACAGATGAAGTTGAGGTATGGAATATGGTCATTTCTTTTGTTTCCTGGATTTCGTCTTCTGGTTTTGTTTTTCTGCTGTCATATTGTCTTTGGTTTGTGTTGAGTGGGAAATGGTGTTTTGCAGGTTTACTATGGTGCTGACTTGGAAACAGGAATATTTGGAAGTGGGTTTCCTAAGCCGTCATCAATGATAACAGGCGACAAGCAAGATCAGTACGTGGTCTCTGGTTGGAATCTGAATAACTTCCCTCGTCTGCCAGGTTCTGTACTTGGCTTTGAGGAATGTGATATCTCAGGGGTTCTAGTGCCATGGCTGTATGTTGGAATGTGCTTCTCATCATTTTGTTGGGTAAAGTTCAGAAATCCTACTGCCTTTTATGTTTTATCATTTTAAGTTTCCTATTTCAGGGTGTATAGCACCCATCTTTCCATCAAAAAGAGAAAAAAAGAAACCCAGTCTACTTGTCACATGCATTTCTTCATTTCTGTGAACTAATTTCCTGTTCTCTTTCCCCCCTTATTTTCTTCGCTATGTTTGCAAGCAGCATGTGGAGGACCATCACCTGTATTCTCTGAACTATGTACACTGGGGAGACCCGAAGGTATGGTACGGTGTCCCTGGAACTCATGCTTCAACCTTGGAGTCCGCAATGAGAAAGCATTTGCCCGATTTGTTTGAAGAACAACCTGGTTTACTTCATGAACTGGTAAAAGTTATCAAGCTCCCGCTCCTATTTCTCTTTCCATCCCAGCCTTCCTCTTGACATCTTATTTTCCATTTGCTATCCCTGAAGTAATAGTGGGTTTCTCTGGCATCCAATGCACAGGTTACCCAACTCTCTCCCTCAGTTCTCAAGGCTGAAGGCGTGCCTGTATATCGGGTGGTCCAGCACTCTGGAGAATTTGTTCTTACTTTCCCTAGGGCATACCATGCTGGTTTCAATTGTGGTTTCAACTGTGCCGAGGCAGTGAATGCGGCCCCAGTTGATTGGTTGGTGCATGGACAAAATGCAGTTGAGCTCTACAGTGAGCAGTGCCGCAAGACATCCATATCCCATGACAAACTTTTATTCGGAGCAGCAATGGATGCAGTTCAGGGTCTATTGGAACTTGAATCTCTTGACAAAGAATCTCCAGGAAATTTTAGGTGGAGAAGTGTTTGCGGTAAGGATGGATTGCTAACCAGAGCTGTTAAGGTACTTTCTCTCTCTCTCTCTCTTTGATATCATGCATAACACAGGTGTCGTGGTCTTGGCTTTTGTTTATAAAAAAACGTGAGTTTTAAGTTTAAGGTGAAGTCAAGACAATAAGGTGGCTTTTAGCGTTTGATGATTTGTCGGATTTAAGAAATGTGAAGATTATTTGCAATTTAGTGGCTTTTAGCGTTTGATGATTTGTCGGATTTAAGAAATGTGAAGATTATTTGCAAGTTAGATGAAGAAATGTGTCTGTTCAGCTTATACGTTTTTCAAGCCGAAACAAACACGCCCAGTAGGCTACATATTTGTACTGTTAGGGGTCCAATATTTCACTCTGGCATATATCATATATGGGAGGACTAACTGTGTTTTGGATGTTTAATTCGAGCAGGCGCGGGTAGAGATGGAGAATGAGAGAATACAAGTCCTACCAGATCAGTTCAAACAGCAAAAGATGGAGGAACCCTCTGATTTGAACAGTGAGAGAGAATGCTTCTCATGTTTTTATGACTTGTACCTATCTGCTGCAACTTGCAACTGCTCCACTAAACAGTTTGCATGTCTCAAACACGCTAAGCATGTTTGCTCTTGTGAACCGGAACAAAGATACGTGCTTTTACGTTATACCATGGATGAGTTGAGTAGCCTTGTTGATGCATTGGAAGGAGACGTAGCAGCCATGAAATTGTGGGCTTCTGATAATTTTGGTAGCAGTTTGGTTTCTGCTCATAATCCGAAGGAAGGACCATCAGATTCTTTCCCTAGTACAGATGAAATGGTGGGCTCATGTGGCTCGAACAGCCATGCTTCTTCAGATGTAATCCAGTCTGATAATAAAAACGTATTTAGCAATATTGAAGGTTCGGCATTGCAAACTGGAGCTGGTGATGCTAAAGAAGAGGTATGTATTGATCTGAACCTTGATGCTGTGTCTACTGTACGTGCGAGGGAATCTCTGGATGCATCTCAGAGCTCCAGTAGCAGCAGAATGATCTCTGATGATGATTGTAAACAAGAGAAACTTGTTGCAGAAGACACTGATGTAGTTGGTAAGAAGCTGTTTGGTGTTGATCTAATGTTCTCAGCAATCCCATCAATGAGCTTGCAAACTGATGGAGTCAGTCACACCGAGTCTATTGAGCTGCTAAACCTTGGTTCTGTTATATTTAGAAAACTCTGGCACAGTGCACAAGCCATATTCCCAAAAGGTAATCAGCTGCATTATAACATTTGGTTCTATGGTTACCTTCCTTACTTATTCCTTTGCTAAGGATAATATTTATTCATTACCCTTGATTTTCCTTGCCCTTTTGTAGGATTCAGAACCCGGTCCAAGTTCTTCAGCGTGAATGATCCTAGGAAGATTTGCTACTACACTTCCGAAGTTGTGGATGCTGGGCTACTCGGTCCTCTATTTAAGGTGGGTTTAGATTAATTCCATCTGCAGATTAGTATTTATTATCAGATTGAAGATCTTGTCAGATTGAAGATCTTGTTCCAAAATCTGATTTCATGCTTCAAAATATCAGGTTTCATTTGAGGAATACCCGAGTGAGGCATTCACAAATTTCTCAGCAGAGAAGTGCTGGGAAGTCGTGTTGCAGCGGGTGAATGACGAGATTTTAAGACGGATTAGGCTAGGAGAGGAAGGATTGCCCCCTCTCCAAAGCCGAATCAGTGGCTTGCAAAAGTTTGGATTCCTCTCTTCATCCATTGTACAGGTATAAAATTGATTAACTTAGCCTGCCTTGCATTGAAAGAACAAATCATGCATCAAAGACTTAACGAAAAATGCTTACATTTTCAGGCCATTGAAGCTCTCGATCCAGATCATCAATGTAAGGAGTACTGGAATAACAAGCAACTCGTGAACAAAAATAAGGCAATTAAACTCCAACAACACCAATCCATTGATTCGCATGAAAAAGCGCAGCAAATAATGCAAGGACTGTTGCAGAAAGCAAGTCCTGAAGAACTGAAAATAATGAAGACCATGTTCTGCAGCGAGGCACAGAGTGCTGAATGGAATGTGGCATTCAAGACATTGATGGAACAGCAGTTGCCGAAATGAAGATAGTAGGATGATAACAGAAAAGAAGAAGCAGGAGGATTAATGGAGTTTTAGGTCCCTAGTTTACAACCAACCCACAATTCTTTCTTGATTCTTCAGTGTAGCATCCAATTCATTAGGTAAAATTGGATTTAGGCCTCAATTCTTTTTCATAGAAGGAAAAAAAAGCAAAACCCTAGCTTGCTTGGGCAGACACAGATTGAATTGGCAACTACTAAGGAGTGGGTGCACAGGTTGTTTTTGTAGGATGATGCTCCAACTCAATAACCCAGCCTTTGTTTACTGTTCTGCCATTTTAACCCACCATAGCCATTGTAAAACATTCAGGGATTGTCCATTGCTAATGAAATTAGAGTTTCAGTTTCATTACCAGTTCTATTTCCCCCATACACAGAAGACACAGACATTACTTTCTAAACTCCTTGCTTCTAATTGCGAACTTCTGAAGGAAAATGAAACCATGAATGGAAATGCAAGTGGACAGGTCAAAGAGAACTAGTAGCAACTAGAAAGCTGTCATCTTTTACTGATACGAAGTCTTCCTCCGAATGATTTCAGTACATTGGGTTACACCGTAATCGACATACCAGCCAGAGTCAATCTAATATGGTATCCCACTATTTGCCTCTCCCATAGAAATCTAAACTGTAAACTGATGAAAATCTGTCTGAAATCTACACTGTGAACTGATGAAATCAGTCTGTCAACGGATTAGGTGAACCATCAACACGGTAAGGAACAGAGGATCTGTAATTCTGTTTTGCGCACTAAAGAGCAGGGTAAAAAATGATTCAGCCCATGAAATCACGCCAGAAAAGCGTAAAGAATGACCAAGAAGATACCCCAAACCACGGCGCGTAAGCACTCTGCTCCCGATTCTGCCTCAGGATGAGTCCCGTTTACTTCGCCGGCGGCGGGGACGAACAGCGCCGGTGGCGATTTCCCCAATACCTGAAGCGGCGCCTGCATCTGCTGCGGCTGCGGCTGGTCGGAGTTTCCCTGGAGGGGACCATCGCCGTAGATGGAGTAGTCCATGAGATTGGCGATGCCGTGGACGACGACGGCAGGGGAAGTGAACAAATCAGGGTGGGAGAGGAGGGCGCCGTCGAGGGTGAAATTGGCGGCGGAATTGTTGGTGATGAGGATCGTTTTGGGGACGAGCATAGTTGGGAGGCGGGAGAGCGGCTTGAACTGGCGGAGATCGGCGAAGGCGAGTCGCTGGGGGACGATGTGGTAAGGAAAGACGAGCGGGTCGCTGAATGCTGCGTCGCCGGAGGCGGTTACGAGGGAATCGTCCGCGGGGATGAAGAAAGTGGCGGAGATAGGGAAGTAGGTCGGTGTGTTAATCGACAGGATGTTCGCCCAGCTGTTGAAGTCTCCGGCGCCGATCAGTGCGCCGATGATGTTCCTGATTTGCTCTTGGCGGGAGGCGGCGGAGTTCGGCGGCGGCGCCGCCAGCGAGGATTGTGGCGGTGGAGGAAAAGCCGCGGATGCGGTGGAGTTGCGATTGCGAGGGTGGTGGTGGGGGCGAGGGTGGATGTGGTGAGAATGAGAGTGGTTGCGACGGCCGGATGGAGCGGCGGCGACAACGGCGGTGAGGAGCAGGAGGAAGAGCACTGGGAGGCTGAGCTTAGCCATGGTAGAGAGAAAGAGAGGGGAAATGGATTTTCTTGGATGGGAATTTCAGAGTTCTTTGTGGGGGCGGCGTCTTGAGTCTGTGAGGAAGAAATAACAAACTCTCTACTCTTGCCGCCAAAACTCGAGTGAGAACTGAGAAGAAGAAGACGACGGGTTTTTTCTGTATATATGATATATGTCCAGGGGCAATAATGGAATTAATGAGTAGTTTGGGAATTTCTGGGGCGAAGACGGTTACTTACGTAAATTACTGACCTACCTCTCCCCAGACTAGCCCACGTACTCGATCTCCCAAAAGCCCAGATTAGCTCTTCGTCATTGGGCCCGCCCAAAATCTGGATGAGTCCATGGATTATAGTCCGACGTTATAACTTCAAATAACTGGTGTTATTATGCACTGTTCTAATTGAAGTGCAGGAGAAGACTTGGGAAAGAAGAAAAGCTGGTTTCACGGCAACTTGCACTAAAGATTATCAGCTATGGTACTGCGAGTCACCTCAGGAAAGAAACCTCTTATAAAGAATCATCTCGTCCAAGTGCTTGTGTCATCTCCTTGCGTATAACTGTATAAGTAATAGACTTGGAAAGGTGAACAAATTTTTATCTATAATTGATGCAGTAATCAATAATCCAATTGAACTTTATATATTCAGGGTTTATCATGTCATGTCATTATCGGTTTGATTTGACTAGATCGTCGTAAAAAAAAAAGTTTTACACACTGTAAAAATAAGGCATTGATCCGAATATATATATATCCAGCAAGTTACAAGTATATAACTTACACACAGCGAATTGGAAATGAGAACCCATCCCTCTAGCAGGGATCATGTGTCGAGAATGAGAAAAATCTGTAAGCCCAATTCCCGTAGGTCACTAGGGAATATTTGTGGCCCAAGTGTAATTATCACTTAATGATTTAATATATAAGGTAAATCCTATATTGATTAGGTTAATGAAAGGTAAATTCCTAATATGCCCTGATGGTGGGTCTATATAAAGAAGCTCTAGGATTGGTCCTCTCTCAACCCATTACGTAGAATTTCTTAGCCATCACAGAAATCTCTAAACCTAAAACCTAAAGGGGTCAAGAGGGAGAAACTCAATTCCGGTGATTACTACTCCAGCGCCGCCGCCGCTCTCGTCATGGATCGAGGTAGGTTTTCCCGATCTATTATCGATTCGTGAAATCATCTAATTCTAGGATCCATGCTATTATGATTTATGTCTACATGTGGTATCAGAGCATTAGGTTTACATGAATAGATGTTTTTCGATTATGTATTTTTCCGCTGCATCTGTACGCATGCTAATTATATTCAAGGCCATTATATTCACAATAGCTGCGTATGCGAGAACTATTGCCATGCTAATTATATTCAAGGCCATTATGCTTCGGCTGTAGGGTTTCCAATTGTCTATTCGCAATTTTCCTTTTATTTGTACCTTTTGTCCAGTCTATGGAATGGATATTATTTGTCTGATCCTTTCTCACATATGATGCAAGTGGACAAGGGCACCTCCTCGCTACTAGGGGGTGAAGGATTTGTATTTTATTGGTTAAGCTATTGCTTTATCAAATTCCAATTCTATTAGCTTTGTCGTTTATTGACAAGGTCTTGCTTCTGTGGGTGCAATTATATATGTTTGATCAAATTCCATGAGTTCTTTCATGTTGCTATCTATTGGCTTCGGCTATAATATGTTTGAGTTTCCTTGATAATGAATTTGATCAGTAGGCTTAATGGTTGATCAGTTAAGCAATTATTATAATAGTAACCTATTAATGAGTCAAGTTTTGCGTATGTGTATTTGAGAATTATAATTAACAATTGCTTTGATTTGAGTTAAATTATATCTTTGATATCTATGTTATGATTAAATTTGTTAGTCACCAAAGTGGCCAAATTAGAAGGTTTATAGATATCAAGTTGAATCAAGTTCAACTACTAATGTTTATGTGATGCTTTAAAGTTGAAGTTCGTGATTATAAAATATTTTCGAATCGCCCAAAGGTTGATTGCCCGTTTTATAATTCATGAACATTATCGTGGTAAATTGATGTGCTTTGTTAGATATATTTAGTATATCCAAAGATTGCAAGTATATCTAATTTGAGTATGTCTATCACCAATTATATGATTATTTTGAGCATCAATTACGATTATTTATCGCATATATATTGTTGTTTTGCCCAAAGGTAGCACCAATATATGTTTTATGTTTATGTTTCCGAATCTGTATTATAGTTTATGCTTATTACCCAAAGCATTAATGTGTGAGTACATGTTATATATGTTTGCAGCATCTGTTCCTGTTTCTCTTCATTCGCAAGCCACGTCTGTTGTTAAGTTTAATGGCCTCAACTTCTCTGAATGGGCTGAACAGGTTCAGTTTCACCTCGGTGTTCTGGATCTTGATTTGGCACTCTTAAGTGAGAAACCTGCTGCTCTTACTGATGCTAGCAGTGCTGAGGAAAAGTCTTTCCATAAAGCTTGGGAAAGATCTAACAGACTAAGCCTAATGTTTATGCGAATGACTGTAGCAAACAACATTAAGTCAACTTTCAATGATACTGAAAGTGCTAAGGAATTTATGAATTCCGTGAAAGAAAGCTCTCAATCTGAGTCTGCTGATAAGTCGCTTGCTGGGACACTAATGGGTACGCTAACCACCATGAAGTTTGATGGTTCTCGTACCATGCATGAGCATATCGTCGAAATGATAAAATTTGCAGCAAGACTAAAGACCATGGGAATGGAAGTGAATGAAAATTTCCTAGTAACGTTCATCCTTAATTCCTTACCTCCAGAGTATGGCACATTCCATGTGCATTACAATACTCTAAAGGATAAATGGAATGCGCATGAGTTACAAAGCATGCTCATTCAAGAGGAAGCAACGCTTAAGAAACCAGGAAATCATTCTGCCAATCTTGTTGGTCATAAAGGAGCTAGAAAGAAACCATGGAACAAGAATGGGAAGGGCAAGGAAGGACTATCAAAGCTTAATGAGTCATCTTCCAAAATCCACAAGAAGGAACCAAGTAAGGATATATGTCGCTTCTGTAAGAAAGCCGGACATTATCAGAAAGATTGCTTGAAAAGAAAGGCATGGTTCGAAAGAAAGGGTAAGCCTAGTGCTTCAGTATGTTTCGAATCATATTTAACTGAGGTTCCTTATAATACTTGGTGGGTTGACACTGGTTGTACCATTCATGTTTCCAAAACGATGCAGGGATTCCTTACGACCCAAACCATAAGGCAAAATGAGAAGTTCATCTATATGGGAAACCGAGCCAAAGTTCCAGTTGAAGCTATTGGGACTTATCGTTTGGTTTTAGATACTGGTCATCATTTGGACCTTGTCAATACCCTTTATGCTCCTTCTATTTCTCGTAATTTGGTTTCGGTGTCTCAACTAGATAAGGCTGGGTATTTTTGGAACATTGCAAATGGTTCTATTAGTTTGTTCAAACAGAATGTTTTATTGGGTTCTGGTACCCTTGTTGATGGTTTGTACAAACTAAAGCTTGATACCCTATTCGCTGAAACTCTCTTAACCTTGCATCATAATGTTGGTATTAAACGTGGTTTGTTTGATGAATCCTCTGCTTACTTGTGGCATAAACGTTTGGGTCACATATCCAAAGAAAGAATGGAAAGGCTAGTAAAGAATGAAATCCTTCCTCATTTGGATTTTACTGATCTTGGAATTTGTGTTGAGTGTATTAAAGGAAAACACACAAAACACACACTTAAGAAAGCAGCCACAAGAAGCTCACAGCTCCTTGAAATTATACACACTGATATCTGTGGGCCTTTTGATGTTCCATCACTTGGTGGAGAAAAGTATTTCATTACCTTTATCAATGATTTTTTCACGTTATGGATATATCTATTTGCTGGATGAAAAATCTCAGTCGGTAGATACCCTTGAGGTGTTTATCAATGAAGTTGAGAGGCAATTAGAAAGAAAGGTGAAAATTGTCAGATCTGATAGAGGTGGAGAATATTATGGAAAATATGATGAAAGTGGACAGTGCCCTGGTCCATTTGCTAAGTTCCTAGAAAGACGTGGTATTTGTGCTCAATACACTATGCCAGGAACACCGCAACAAAATGGTGTTGCAGAAAGGCGGAATCGTACTTTAATGGATATGGTTAGGAGTATGTTAAGCAACTCATCTTTACCCAAATCATTGTGGATGCACGCTTTAAGGACCGTTGTGTATTTGTTAAACAGGGTTCCTAGTAAAGCAGTTCCTAAGACACCTTTTGAACTGTGGACGGGAAGGAAATCCAGTTTAAGGCACCTGCATGTTTGGGGTTGCCCAGCGGAAGTGGGAATATATAATCCACATGAAAAGAAACTGGACTCACGAACAATCAGTGGTTTCTTCATTGGTTATCCAGAAAAATCTAAGGGGTATCGATTTTATTGCCCTAACCATAGTACGAGAATTGTTGAAACTGGAAATGCTAGGTTCATTGAGAATGGTGAAGTTAGTGGGAGCTTAGAGCCACGCAATGTGGAAATTCAAGAAGTTAGAGTGCAAATATCTTTACCTCTACCCTCTTCTCAAGTTGTTGCTCCTGCACATGTTGAGCATGATAACGATTTGCAGGAACAACAAATGAACGGTCAAGCACCACCTAATATTGCTATTGAGAATGAACCTAACATAGATGAACCAAATGAAATTGCATTAAGAAGGTCTACAAGAAATCGAAGGCCTGCAATTTCTGATGATTATGAGGTTTATCTTCACGAGTTAGAATCTGATTTAGGACTCTATCATGATCTAGTTTCATTTTCACAAGTCATGGAAAGTGAGCATTCTGATAAATGGTTAGCTGCCGCGAAAGGAGATGAAATCTATGTATAAAAATGAAGTTTGGGACCTTGTTGATTTGCCTGAAGGTTGTAAAAGAGTTGGTAATAGATGGGTCTGGAAGACCAAACACGACTCTAATGGCAATATCGAAAGACACAGGGCCAGACTTGTTGCGAAAGGTTTCACTCAGAAAAGTGGTGTTGACTATAAAGAGACATTTTCACCCGTCTCTAAGAAAGACTCCTTAAGGATTGTCATGGCAATGGTAGCTCATTATAATCTAGAGCTCCATCAGATGGATGTGAAAACCGCCTTTCTAAATGGGAATTTAGATGAAGCAGTCTATATGGATCAACCTGAAGGTTTTGTGGTTGAGGGAAAAGAACATATGGTGTGTAAATTAAAGAAGTCAATATACGGACTTAAACAAGCTTCCCGACAATGGTATATTAAGTTCAATGATACCATTACATCTTTTGGATTTAAGGAGAACATCGTCGATCGATGTATATATCTGAAGATTAGTGGGAGTAAGTTTATAATTTTAGTTCTGTATGTTGACGATATCTTGCTTGCTACAAATGATCTTGGTTTATTACATCAAACCAAGGAGTTTCTCTCTAAGAACTTTGAAATGAAGGATTTGGGTGAGGCATCCTATGTGATTGGAATAGAAATATTTCGTGATAGATCACAAGGACTGTTGGGATTGTCTCAGAAATCATACATTAACCGGATCCTAGAGAGATACAACATGGCTGAATGCTCTGCAAATGTCGTTCCAATTCAGAAGGGAGATAAATTTAGTCTCAAACAATGTCCAAAGAATGAATTGGAACACAAGCAAATGGAACACCTTCCTTATGAATCTATTGTTGGAAGTTTGAATTATGCACAAACTTGTACCAGACCAGACATCAGTTTTGCTGTCGGAATGCTGGGCAGGTATCAAAGTAATCCAGGAGTAGATCATTGGAAAGCTGCAAAGAAGGTACTAAGGTATCTGCAAGGAACAAAAGACCACATGCTCACCTTTAGGAGATCTGATCACCTTGAGGTGATTGGATATTCAGATTCAGATTATGCTGGATGTGTAGACCCCAGGAAGTCTACTTTTGGCTATTTGTTCCTTCTAGCCGGAGGGGCAATTTCATGGAAGAGTGCGAAGCAGTCTGTTATTGCCACATCCACTATGGAAGCTGAATTCATAGCTTGTTATGAAGCTACGAATCATGGTTTGTGGCTGCGGAATTTTATTTATGGACTTGGAATTGTCGAAACTATCGCCAAGCCGCTGAAAATTTACTGTGATAATTCCGCAGCGGTATTCTTCTCTAAGAATGACAAGTATTCGAAGGGTGCTAAGCATATGGAGGTGAAATACTTTGTCGTTAAGGAAGAAGTTCAGAAACAAAGGGTGTCGATCGAGCATATTAGCACAAAGCTTATGATTGCTGATCCATTAACAAAAGGATTGCCTCCTAAGACATTTACTGAACATGTCGAAAGGATGGGGATTATAGGACGTCATGACTAAAGTTATTTTATGTTTCATGGATTGACACTTTGAGCTCATTTATTTTGTTTCTGGAATAAAATTATGAATCTTGTTTTATTTATTATGACCAGTATATATACATTATGCATTATGTGAACAAAACAAGATTTTTGTCTTTAGTGAAGACATTATTGTTGGACCATTATGACTACCTTGTTATGTGTCATATTGAGCATGAGACTGGTTTAGTGGTACATGGAAGGGACTATGTCGATGAATTGATACAGAACCGCCATGACCCTAATCTAGCTTTCATACTTGATTATGACTTTATGGTGAACCAAATATTATGGATTTATCTTATGATGTGCACACTTATGTTTATTATTAGATCTTGTGATATATAATGACACATGGACCAAGTGGGAGAATGTAAGCCCAATTCCCGTAGGTCACTAGGGAATATTTGTGGCCCAAGTGTAATTATCACTTAATAATTTAATATATAAGGTAAATCCTATATTGATTAGGTTAATGAAAGGTAAATTCCTAATATGCCCTGATGGCGGGTCTATATAAAGAAGCTCTAGGATTGGTCCTCTCTCAACCCATTACGTAGAATTTCTTAGCCATCACAGAAATCTCTAAACCTAAAACCTAAAGGGGTCAAGAGGGAGAAACTCAATTTCGGTGATTACTACTCCAGCGCCGCCGCCGCTCTCGTCATGGATCGAGGTAGGTTTTCCCGATCTATTATGGATTCGTGAAATCATCTAATTCTAAGATCCATGCTATTATGATTTATGTTTACAAAATCGTTATGTGAGATCATTCTCGTCCAGGCCTTCTCCCTCTTCAGTCCCAGCTTTTACTGCGGTTACTTCACCAGTAGGTAGCTTTCTTCCCAGCTTGATGATCTGCAAGCTCACACGCACAATATGCCAAAAAAAGATAAGTCAAAATCAGACTGAACCATCACAGTGTGGTGAATGGTAAAAACCTGCACTCTGCAAGGTCTCGAAGTAAAATGATAGGATAGAGGAACTTACAGCATGGTCAAGATGAGAAATGGTGCTAGACTGAGTCAGACGTTTAATTTCTTCAACATCACCTTCCGAATAAGCTGAGATAAGCCTGCTACCATATCGACCCTGGTCACTTCCCAAAAACGCAGAAATCCTGGACGCGAAAGAGAACCAAAAAAAAAAAAAAAACAGGGATTAACCAACGAGGAGCACTTTCCAATTGAAGAGTGGATGCATGATGATGACGACTTGAAAAAAAGTTAATACTTACTGTGAGCAGTCATTATAGCATTTCTCTGCTGCCTTGACATCATGAGCATAAAGGTACACAATAATGGCACCAAGGTATGCCTGCAAATTTGATGATGTGTTCGATTAAGAGGTAAGATTATCACTACAGAAAAAATGTGGGGTGGCTTTTGGAATCAGGTTGGGCAAAAACTTGAGGACGCAAGACCTTGAACTGGCTGTTAGTAGCATTGGATTTGTCAGCTGCAAGACCCAGTCTCAACAAGGCAGCTGCAGCATCTGTGTACCTGAAAGCATTAACTACATGAATCATCTCTTCAGCTATTGAAATTTCAACTTCAACCAGAAGCAAGGCAGGCAATAACAACAATCTGAATTTGCTAATGTAAAGTATTGTTGCCTGGAGAGTAGAATGCTTGTAGAATCATAAGAGCTCAGGAACATCACATGCCACTAATTACTAGGCTATAATGAAAAGTATTGAGACCAAGTCTGGCGATCATTACTAACTTCCAAAACAAGCACTATGTATAAACAATTAAACATTATCCCTGTTAGAAACACGTTTTCTAAGGAAAACGGGTTTCTATATCATCATTATCGTTATTATTAGGTTTATTCAAATATGGTTAGTAGTCTTTTAGTAGAATTAGGTTTAGTATTAGGTTTTCCTATCTTTCGTTATAAATATGTACTTTGCGTTTTATTCATGATCAAGCAAGAACAATTATTCAGAAAGTATCCCAAATCCTAATCTCTCTACTCTTCCTCAATTTCGTCACCTATCCCTTGGCCATCAGTCATTCTTCTCCTCGATTCCCAATTTCCTCTTCTAAATCCCTAAACCCCAATTTTGTTCTTCCCCAATTCTATCTCAATCCTCTAAATACCTATCAATTCCCAATCTCATCAACTCGATCGTTAGAACCCTAGAAATAGGTTTCTAACATTTGGTATCAGAGCTTCGAGAATTGAGCTCACCACAACTCTCAACCGGGGGCGAGTTCTACAACTGGTTCGACGATGAGCTCTTCAAAGCTCTCGAACCAGTCGTGGGCAGAGCTGCGTGAACAGGCTTGGCGCATCGGCCGTCGTTGGAGCTCTGAGGAGCTGCCGACCGGGAATGCCGCCACAGCAGAAGAGCAACTGTCGGTTGTGCAGGTTGACTCAAAGGGTGAAGTTGAGAGGCGAGCAGAGCAACCGGACGTGGAAGAGGTTTTGGCAATCGAGCCGCCAGCCACGGAAGAGCTTCCAAACGTCACCAACAAAAAACAGCAGCTTCCGACAGCATCGGTCACCACGACTGCGACTTCACTCCCAACATTGATTGCAGCGGTTGAACAATCATCCAAGGCTGCCGATGGTACTTTCGCGGTCGTGAGTGAAGAAGAAGGTGATCCTGCTTCTTCCATCCTTGTTCCCGACAGTGAGAAGACCAACGCCTTAGAAGAAGAAACCCAAACCGAGGGTTTGGAGAGCAGACCAACGCCACGTCATGTAGCGAGCTGGTGATTTCAGAAGAAGCGGAAGACAGACGAAGAGGATTCCGGGGCCGCCGCGTCAGCCATCCATAGTGCATCGACCGGCATTGGGGGCTCACCCATGTCGCAGCCAGCCGCAAACCAGGAGATTGGTTCGTCACCGCTAGCTGGGATGGAGACGAAGGCGAAAGACCAAGGGGAGGACTCGGTAGCGTCGCCGGTCACGCAAGGAGCACGCTTAGTGGTCGTGACATGGGGAATGGAGGAGCCCGGAGCCGGAATTGACAGTTTACAAGACGCAGAGATGCCGGAACGTCGAATCGCACACGGAACGCGGCGATTGGCGGTCGGTTATGTCGCGCCGTCGAGTGGAGGTGAGGCGAAGTCAGGGGCGGAGCTGGTGGAGGACTCGTCGACGGCCAGCGAATCAAAGGCAGAGACAGGTTTCGCTCCCTGCCGCTGGGTGCTCTGCACGTCGCCGCTGGAGTATGAGGAGTCCACGAGGTCGGAAGAGGCCTCACCGCCGGTGGAGGACTTGCCGGGAAAAGTAAAGAATGAGTGGAGGGAGGAGTGCGCCGGCGTCGGTGTCCTTCTAGCAAACCCTACTTGTTTCCTGACCTGTTCAGCACAACATGGCCAAGTTCGGTTGGGCCAGGTGAGTGAGGCTGTGGGTTTCAACGGGCCGGAGTTGGTGGGCCAAGTTTTCTTAGGCTGTGGGTTTCTAAGGAAAACGGGTTTCACTATCATCATTATCATTATTATTAGGTTTATTCAAATATGGTTAGTAGTCTTTTAGTAGAATTAGGTTTAGTATTTGGTTTTCCTATCTTTCGTTATAAATATGTACTTTGCGTTTTATTCATGATCAACCAAGAACAATTATTCAGAAAGTATCCCAAATCCTAATCTCTCTACTCTTCCTCAATTTCGTCACCTATCCCTTGGCCATCGACCATTCTTCTCCTCGATCCCCAATTTCCTCTTCTAAATCCCTAAACCCCAATTTTGTTCTTCCCCAATTCTATCTCAATACTCTAAATACCTATCAATTCCCAATCTCATCAACTCGATCATTAGAACCCTAGAAATAGGTTTCTAATAATCCCTTATGGCCTGCAGCCACTCACCAGGTCAATTTGTACAGTGTTACTCTAAACGAAGTAATAAACCAGGTTGTATACTCAGCCTATTGCGTGGCATAAGATTCAAACAGGCAATCACTTATGTAGAAGAAGATTGTTCAGGGACTAAGCAGGTCTGCCAAACAAATAATAATACAACACAACCAACGGAAAAAACACCCAAGCAATTTGCATTTTCACAGTTAAATTTTTTACAACAGACCAAGAACATAAGTAGATAGATATATACTAGATAATGCCAACAAAGGCAACAATATCTGACAATACTGGTTAAAGTGGGCTAGGATCAGGTGACTAAGAGGGGGGCCTTAGTCACATGACTAAGTCAATCTCAGCCCTTCCACCTCATTAAAATCCAATGGTTCAGATTAATCCATTTTAATGAAGGGTAATGTGGTAATTATATAATTAATTTATTTAACAATTAAAAAAACAATCCAATTCTCCCCATCCGCGCGAGTCGCGACTGTTTCGTTTTCTGGGGTTTTTCCGGCGGCTCCCCAACCTGCGCCGCCGTTCAGGCCCATGGGATTAATTTCCCCCACCCAAAAGCTTCTGCCTGTGGGATTCCCCAAACAAGCTTAGAGAGAGAGAGAGAGAGAGAGAGAGAGAGAGAGAGAATTTCTGGTCGGTAATTTTTTTTCCGGGGACCATCGTCGACGAAGAATTTTTTCCGGCGACAGTGCTTTGCGATGTTTGTTGACATATTTTGTAATGTTTGTACGCTTTGTTATTTTGTAATGTTTGTAAATTTTGTTATTTTTGTCAACCATGTTTGTAATGTTTTTTATGTCTAAAAAACAACCTGGTTGACTTTTGGATGAAACTTCTCTATATAGGGATGAAGCCTCCAAAGTCAACCCGGGTGTTTTTTCAGTTCGTATGGATTGTCGGTCTAGTTTGTCATTTTTGTCCACCATGTTCGTATTGTTTTGCATGTCTAAAAAACACCCGGGTTGAATTTGGGAAGGAGCCCCTCTATATAGGGATGGAGCCTCCAAAGTCAACCCGGTTGTTTTTTTCTTTTTGTATGGTTTGTATTGTTTGTCGGTCTAGTTTGTATTGTTTGTACAGTTCATACGTTTGTAATGTTTGTGAATCTGTTTGTATGTTTTGTCGCTCTAGTTTTTATTGTTCGTATGTTTGTATGGTTTGTACTGATTGTAAATCCGGTTTGTATACTTCGTAATTTTCCATAATACCCAAACTACCCCTGTCATTAATTAAATAGCCCTTCCCACTGTTTAACCATTGGATTGAAGTGTCCAGATCTAATGGCTAGGAGGGGCTTAGTCAAGTGACTAAGGACCCCCCTTAGTCATGGGATCCGCTCTCGGTTAAAGTTGATCAAACTTCTCACGGAATGTAGTAAACAAAGGATGTCAATCAGATGCGGAAATGGATGGCTGCATACATGTACCATAAAAATAACATATCGCTCGTGGATCCACCAATCCTGGGGTCACCGAATGAGGGTCCCATCAAACTGACGTCCACCGCCCCGGATTCGTCGAACCAGGCTCTAATACCACTTGTCGAAATCGGGCCGCTCAATTAGTACGATATAGTCCGCTTTGGGCCGAGCCCGCACGGTTTTTACTTTTGGGTATACTCACCAAAAGGGCTCGTACTAATTGGGCTAGGTGGACACTAATATACAAGACTTCATTCCCTTGTATTTTCGATGTGGTACTTGGATTGTCTCATAACAATCCTTCCCTCAAGACAAGGACCACGAACATCGTGTTCTCACTCACCACAGCGATTATCTTGATCCGCCAGACACCTTGTACGCTGATCTCAAATCCCGAGGTCACCGAATGAGGGTCCACCAAATTGACGTCCACCGCCCCGAACCGAACCAGGCTCTGATACCACTTGTCAAACTGAGCCGTTCAATTAGTACGATATTGTCTGCTTTGGGCCAAGCCCGCACGGTTTTACTCTTGCATGTCCTCCCCAAAAGGTCTCGTACTAATGAGCTTGGTGGACACTAATATACAAGAGTTCCTTCTCTTGTATTTCCGATGTAGTACTTGAATTGTCCCATAACATATAAAAAAGCATAAAACACGAAACAGAAAACGTAGCATTACACAAAGAATGTACCAATGAAGTAGAGTATGAGCCTACCGAGCTCCCTTCCCCAGTGCATCAAATGCAGGTTGCGCCCTTCCACATTCAACGTACATCTCGGACGCCCTTCTATACAAGTCAGCTACCTCGTTTCAGTTACCTAGCTCCTTAGCTAGAGCAGCAGCAGATTCCATGTGCTTAGCAGCGTCCCATGGACTGCATTTCAAGTGATTAGTGAAGGACAAACCAAAAGAAGAAGGTACCTACATCTAGCATGTGCAATCAGATACCAAATTCTTAATCAAATAAAGAACTCAAGCAAGGAAAAAAGGATACGAGGAAAGCATCTCTTGCCCTTTGGAAGCCTTCTCGAATGCATCTTTCGCCTGTTCATACTTTTTGGCCACTCTATAGGCATTGGATGCAGGAGAACAATCAATTCATTAGCTACACAATTCTCATATCCAGCCACCAACGAAATCCCTTTCTTTTCGTCAACTAATTGTTCAACAGAGGCTGAATTAGTAGAGCAGGTTTATGTAATGATCACGGATTTAACTGTACAAAATTAGGAATTGAAGAATTACATTGTAAGTACTGGGTAGAAAGACAGAAGGACCAAATGGCAATTAGCCTGCCAGATCAGTATATAGCAAGAATACCGTACAACGGATAATAAAAACGAATAACAGAATTTCCTTCTCTCTTACTTTACTCTTTCCTCTCTCTCTCTCTCTCTCTCTCTCTCTCTCTCCTTCTACTGCTTCCCCAATCTTCCTCTACTCGCCGTCGAGCATTTCCAGGTCGATTGTTGCAAGTTGGTATCAGAGCGGTACTCGACAACCATGGCGGCAGCTACACGCACAGGAATACTAGAGGAGCGAATCACCACTGTCACCAATAAGGCGGAAGACTTGGAAACTAGCATCCAGCAATTCAGAAGCAACATATCTCTCCACATCACCAACACCGACGAACAAGCGGTGGTAGTCCGAGATCGCCTATCCAGAAGTGAGAGTCAACTGCAAGATCTAACAACCAAGGCCGACGGACATTCAAGACAGTTTGCGAATCTCAACACCAGAGTGGGCAGCATGGATCGTCGATTTGACGAACTGGATCTGAGATTCGGCAATCTGGAGAGGAGGTTTGAGCAAAGCTTTGAGGAAATGTTTTGCCGTTTCGATCAATTAGGCCGTAATCAGCCAACGGTGGTTGTGGCTGATACAGCGGTGGATGTGGGTGATCGGTGCAACGACCGGGGCATACTTCCTTTAGCGGAGATCCGGGTGACTGCGGTGGAGCTTAATCCGCCTCCAAGGGGGCAGGTTCAGAGGAATCGTGAGGCGAACCTGGACGGGAACCAATTCCAACAACATCCACAATTCCGCGGAATAACAACCAGGTACAGCTTCCCCGTCTCGATTTTCCACCGTTTACTGGAGAAAACCCTAGGGAATGGATACGAAAATGTGAGATGTTTGCCATCTATAAAATTCCGGCAAATCAATGGGTGGAAATGGCGGCAGTATATTTTGATCGCAGGGCAGACATTTGGTTTGAAGGTTGGACGTCCACTAGGCGTGAGCTAGTCTGGTCCGAGTTTGTGGTTGCATTGTGTGCAAGGTTCAGTGATTGGACTCAGGGGGGCATTGTTGGGGAGTTCAACAAGCTGAAGCAAAGGGGTTCCTTAGTTGAATATCAGGAGAAATTCGAAGACCTAAAGTCCAAATGTTGAGATACAATGCTGCATTATCAGAGGAATATTTTATCTCCAGTTTTGTCAGTGGCCTGGAAGAAGAGTTGAGGCCTATAGTGACTATGATGAGACCCCAATCTCTGTCAGATGCAGTCCAGATTGCTAAGTTGGAAGAGGCGGCAAATGAGGCTAAAAGGAAGAGATGGAAATCTGCTGCCTCTCGTCCCTTCCAACCAATTGTGAATCAAGCAGGAGGGAATGGTACTCGTAGGTGGGATAGTGGCAGCAAACCTCAGTTTGGAGGGAAACCTGCTACTGACCCTATTCCAAAGAATCATTATCCTAAAGGGTCTTGTTACAAATGCGGCGACAAGTATTTCTTTGGGCATGTATGTGAACCCAAAAAGCAACTCAATGCATTGCAGGCTGATGATGAAGTGGCACTCCCCTGGTTGATTGGAGTGAAGATGAAGATAGTGAGGAACATGATGAGAGAGTGGAAGAACCAACTGAGGAAGTTTTGATGCATGCAATGAGTAGTGGGGGTTCCTTGGTAGTTAAAGGGAAGGTGAAAAAGGATAGGTTTTATATTCTGATAGACACTGGGAGCAGTCACACGTTTCTCCATGAGGAGAAAGCTAAAGCCTTCAATTGTCAGTTGGTTCCAGCTCCACCCTTACGTGTTAAGTTGGCTGATGGAACACTGCTACTAAGTACTATGATGTGCAAGCAGTTTCGTTGGGAGATGCAGGGAAATGTGTTCACACACGAGGTCAGGATTCTGAAGTTGGGTTCTCATGACATGGTGTTGGGGTTAGATTGGTTGCGGACTGTAAGTCCTGTTAAATTTGATTTCGTTAACCTTCAGCTATTCTTTGAGTTAGGAGGTCAAGAAGTGATTTCGTTAACCTTCAGCTATCCTGACAAGATTTTGGCAGCCTTAAAATGATGTCAGGGAAAGGGTTACAGAAGTTCCTGAAGAAGAGCTCCAATTGGGCAGGTCACTTGTTCAGTCTCTCGTTAGAGCCTTTGCCAGCTACACCAGTGGTACCAGGTAATATTCCATCTTTCCTACAAGCTGTGATCACTGAATACGCGGATGTGTTTGGAAAACCGACTTCCCTACCGCCATCCCGACCCTGTGACCACACCATACCACTACTGCCCAATTCCAAACCAGTGAATTTAAGACCATATAGATACTCCTTACCCCAGAAGGCCAAAATGATAGATTAGTGAAAGAAATGCTTGCATCCTAATACATCCAAACCAATAGGAGTCCTTTTGCCTCACCTGTCTTACTCATACTTAAAAAAGATGGAACTTGGCGCTTTTGTGTGGATTACCGCCAATTGAATGACATGGCCATTAAGGATAAGTTCCCTATTCCAGTGATTTATGACCTGTTAGATGCTTTACATGGGGCAAAATACTTTACAATATTAGATCTCCTGTTAGGATACCATCAAATTCGTATAAACACTAAAGACCAGTATAAAACTGCTTTCTGAACCCACTAAGGCCTGTATGAATTCACAGTGATGTCGTTCGGTCTCACTAATGCCCCAACCACATTTCAAGCCTTGATGAACCAAATTTTTGAGCCTCACCTCAGACAATTCATTCTTGTGTTTTTTGACGACATTCTTGTCGTTAGCCCTACCATTGAAACCCATATTACACACTTGTCCAAGACCCTTTCCATTCTCAAATCCAACAAACTGTTTGCCAAACCTTCCAAGTGTTCTTTTGGTTAGTAGCAGGTGGAATATCTTGGCCATATCATTAATCAGGAGGGTGTTGCCACTGACTCCTCTAAGGTAGAGGCCATGGTTAAATGGCATGTTCCAAAGATAGTTAAAGAGCTCAGGGGATTCTTGGGATTAACTGGATATTATCGAAAGTTTGTCAAAAACTATGGAAGTATTGCTAAACCACTCACTGACTTATTGAGGAAGGATAATTTCAAGTGGTCTTCTGTGGCTCAACGAGCCTTTGAACTCTTGAAGGCATGGTGCAAGCTCCCGTGTTAGCACTTCCTGATTTCTCTAAACCTTTCACTCTGGAAATTGATGCAAGTGACTTAGGTGTGGGAGCTGTTTTATCACAGCAGGGCCGTCCTTTAGCTTATCAAAGTGAGGCATTGGGGCCAAGGAAGCAAGGGTTATCTACCTACGAAAAGGAGTATTTAGCTGTATTGGTAGCAATGAACAAACGGAGGCATTACCTTGAAGGGAGAACTTTCACTATCCTCACAGATCACGAGAGTCTGAAATACCTGTTAGGTCAGAAGGTGCACACCCAAATTCAGAAGAAGGGGTTAGTCAAACTACTTGGTTTGGACTTTGAGATCAAATATAGACAAGGCAAGTTAAACCGAGTTGCTGATGCCTTGTCTAGGAACCCAGCCTTTACAATTGAGGGGGGCTGTCAAGCCATTTCTGGGGTTCTTCCAACCTGGATCACAGACATTGAAGAAACTTATGTGGGTGATTCTGAGGTGCAGGGGTTAATGGCTGGCTGATAACGATGTAATTGCACATGTTTGCTGATATGATCCAAATCCGAAGAGAATCCTCGAACTCGGATTATATGACCAAAGTACGCAGCCTTCCTTCTTTTTAAGGATTTTCGAAGCTTTTCTCCAACTTGAAATAAAAGATAGATGCGGAATCAATCGGACAATCCCAACTCGTGACAAAGGGCAATTGGTATATTAAACCAATCGGACAGAATCAACTCGTGGAAAGGGGCAATTGATATAGGTCGATGCTCGCCACAACTAGACGCGTTCTCTAGTTGATAAGAGACACGTACAATCTCCTGGAATCCTCGACAGAAGTCTTGCACAAAAGAACTCGTTCACAATGAACTAGAACTCAACTTTGATTAATAACTTGGATAATGGGTATTGGGTACCAAATTCGTAGCTCTTACATCCTCTATTTATAGAGGTAAAAAAAACATAAAACTAACCTAAAAGGAATAGGAAAACAAATCCCAAACTAACTAGGTAACTTAATACTACTTTAACAAATAAATAAACTACAAATAAACTCCAAAAATGGCCGGTGCAAGTTTCCTTCTCCGTTACGGAAATGAACTTCCGGTATCTCGTTTTATTACCAGATGCGGACCATTCCTTTCTTCCTTTTCCTTCCACAAAAAGGACAATCCATGAGAAGCTCAGGTTTGGCATCTAGCTTGAGCTTTACATTCCTTTAATCTGCTCACCAAAATGGTAATGGAATAATGACCACCTTTATCCCATGCCACACGTCCAAATCCATTCTATGCAACGTGAAGAAGTTAACCCACCCTTGTAATTAATTCAGCCAACCATTATTCACGTACTCGAGTTGGCAGCCGCTATAGTGAATTTCGTATTGTTCATCAAGAACGCTCCCAATTGATACTTAAATCGTAGAATGTGAATCTTCATCTTTGGACCGCGGGAATTAAATATCGTGCTAGTCGATATCGCATCATTTGCACCCCTAGTTCTTATCCGTTTGTGGGGCATAGTCTTGTATTTTTGGCATATTTTACGCCGGGTTGTGCTACTTTGTCATATTTCAGGTCCCAGACGTCGAAGGAAAGGCTAAGCACGAGTTTCGGGGCATTCGGAAGTCATTCGGTTGAGCTGGAGCCAAAGCACGGGCGCGCCTAAATCAAAGCACGACCGTGTTCCTGGACCGTGTTTTTACTGCCGAGGCTTGATCTAAGATTGTCCAACGCTGGCCCAAAACACGGGCGGGACTGACTCAAAACACGACCGTGTCCAACATTAGGCACGACCATGTTTTCCTCAAAAATATGGCCGTGTTTTTAACACGTGGCAAGGGCACGGGCGGGCAGCAGCAAAGCACGGCCGTGCCCTTGACCGTGTTTTGCCCAGTGATACCCTTTTAGGTAGATTTGAGCCAAAAGAGAGAGGGTTCCGAGTTTTAGAGAGACAGAGCGATTCCTAGAGAGAGAAAGAGACAAACCAGAGTTCCCAAGTGCCCTAGCTTGATCTTCATCACCATTGGAGCTTGGCTTACACTTGGAGAAGTGCCGATTGACGACCAGTAGCAGAAACCCATCCTTCACAGTATGATTTCCGCATCTGAATCTGTTTTTGCTTCTCTCTCCATGGAGTAGTTTTCCCATTCATCTGGGTATGGAGAACCCTAGATTTGTATGTTAGGTCTGATTGTATGAACCCAAGTACAGATTTTATGATTTGATTATATTCAATTGAGGCTTGAATGATTGAATGACTTGAATCCTGATCAAATTCCTGTTATTTCTGCTTTAGCCTAGAAAGAGTTAATAGAGCACCCTTAATTGAAGGTAGTGAATTGGCGACTTTAGTCGAGGAGCCAGTTCACTATTTTGTACCGAATTTACTTCGGTAGTGGAGGTTTGGTTTGTTAGGGCCTCAAACTGTTTACTCAGGTGGAGGTTAGTCGCCCGCTGGGGACTCAGATTGAGAGGGTCTAGATACCTTTAGTCGAGACTTCAGACTGTTTAAGAACCTCCCGCAGTACAACTATCATTAAAACTGAACTTGGTAAATTGCAATCCGGCTTAACTGCAGTCTAGGGGGAACCATATCCGGGTGACCTCTCTCGACTTGAAAAAAACCGTTTAGTTGCTTGCTTTACTTGTTTGCTTGTTTGAACCTGCACTAAAGTTTCACCGCTAGATAATAAGAATTCGCTGAGTAGTCATCACATCTAGGACCCGGGTTGACATTAAAACCCAAACCCACTATACTACGCTTTAGGAAGTGGTTGCACTTGGCCATTTTCTAGAGTGACAGTAGGAGTGAGTTAAGTTTTTGGCGCCGTTTCCAGGGACGGCTAGGTTGTTGAAGAAACGTGAATTCTTTTAATTTAGCTTTTCTTTTCCAATTGTTTGCTTTGTCCCACTCGTGCCTTCACGGGTTTGCTGCTTGACTGTCTGCAGGTAGTGCATGACCTGTAGCCAGTCAGGAGGTTTACTGCCATTGAATCCGGAGCTTGAATGCACATGTCGCCAACTCAGGAGAGAACATCGAGCTAGACTGGCCACAGAGGAGCGCCTAGACGGCCATTTGAGCAACGAGTCCGAGAACGAGTACGAGATGGAAGGAAATTACAATCCACATCAGGGGAATCCTCAGCAGGTTCCCCCGGTGAATCAGGTCTTGGGGAACAACCCCATACCCCAGTCAGATGGGGTTCATCATCATCCACCGCCGCCGGGTCCCACCTTGGAGTACTACTACACTCCACGGATTGCTGACATCCGCCCGGTCATCCTCTATCCGCATATTCCAGCGAACAACTTCGATATCAAGCCATGATGGATACAACTCATTACATCTTCTATCCAGTTCCATGGCTTGAAGGATGAGGAGGCGAGGGTGCATCTTTCCCGTTTTCTGTAGCCTACGAACGGGTTCAAGCTAAGCGGTGTTCCTGATGACGCAATCCGCCTTCACCTCTTCCCCCATTCTCTGGCGGGGAATGCTAAGAGGTGGTGGGAAACCCAGCCCCCATTGTCCATCACTTCTTGGGACGATCTGGCCGACAAGTTCGTGCACAGGTACTACCCATCATTGAAGACCACAGAGATCCAGCGGGAGATCACTCACTTCCGCCAAGAGCCAGACGAGTCACTTCGTGATGCATGGGAGCGGTACATGGGATATTTTTAGCAGTATCCCCATCATGGCTTCAGTGATTCATTCACAGTGGGGAACTTCTACAGTGCTCTCTCTCCGGAAAGCCAGAGGGTGATTGAGTCTCTATGCCCAGGAGGGGATATTCTTACTAAGACTCCACCCGAACTGAACCAGATGATCAGTACCTTGGCTGCCAGAGATCATTCCTGGGGGCAGAGCAGCAGAGGCAGAAATTCCCGGTATCGTGGTGTGCACGCCATGGAGGCCAGGTCCGGGATCGAGCAGCATGTAGCCGAGTTAGTGTAGACATTGAAGCAGCCCAACAGTCTTATTCCGGGAAGAGGTTTGGCTACACCTCCAGTAGCTCAATGTCAGTGGTGTGAGAGCTCAAATCATCTAGTAGAAGACTGCCAGGCTATGAGGGAGTCTTCTACCCCCCCAAGAGCAGTTGGACTTCATCGCCAACGCTCGGCGCCTCGACCCGTACAGCAATACATATAATGAGGGGTGGCGCCAGCATCCCAATTTCTCTTGGAGTAGCAACACCACTAAACCACCTGGTTTCCCAGCACCAGCTGGTGGTTTTCAGTAGAGGCAGCCTTTCCAGGCTCGACAGGTGCCAGCCCCACAACAGCACCCCTACCAGCCTAGGCAGGGGCAACCATTCCAGCAGCCCCAGCGTCAGTATGTTGAGCAAGAAGCAGCCTCGGCTCCAGATAATCAGATGACGGAGCTGAAAAATATTCTAGCGGCATTCATGACTATCAGCCAGACAACTTTCACGAGGATGGACCAGAGCATAGCCTCACTAGAGGCAGGTCAGAGGAACCAAGGTGCCATTTTGCAAGATTTACAGAACCAGATGGGTAGCATTACTCGCCAAAACACTACCAGGGCACCGGGGGCTCTGCTTGCCACCACTATTCCTAATCCTTGAGCGCCTCACCAGCACCAGCAGCTAGATGCCATCACTACCAGGAGTGGCAAGACCATGTCTGCTGCTCCTGCCCAGCCCAGTCAAGACGAGCCACTACCCGCTTCAACACTTCAGATGACAACGTAGAAGTGGGGATGGACAAAGAAGCACCGGCTCCCAAGCCACAGCCAGTGGTTAAGGAGCACGTACCCCAGCTTCCTTTCCCCACTCGCCTACATAAAGACAAGCTGGAGACTGAGTTTTCTAAGTTCATAGCAATGTTGAAGCAGTTCAACATCAGCATGCCGTTCGTGGAGGCACTGTCAAAGATGCCCAAGTATGCCAAGTTCATGAAAGACCTCCTCACCAACAAGAAGAAACTTGGGGATCTTTCGACAGTGATGCTGAGCGAGGAGTGTTCTGCTATCCTGCAGAACAAGCTGCCCGAGAAGCGTAAAGACCCAAGGAGTTTCACTATCCCTCTTGTTATTGGCAGCATGCATGTAGAAAAGTCCTTGGCGGACCTAGGCGCTAGCATAAATGTCATGCCCTACAAATTGTTTAAAAAGCTAGACCTAGGTGAACCTAGAGCTACTAGGATGAGCATTCAGTTAGCTGATCATTCCATCGTGCATCCTAGGGGCATCATTGAGGATTTGCTTGTTAATGTGGGTGCATTCACATATCCTGTTGCCTTTGTTATCCTGGATATAAATGAGGATGTGGATGTACCATTGATTCTGGGTAGACCGTTTCTCGCCACCGCCAAGGATCAGCCCCTCCTTCTGCTCCCACCGGATACTAATGGAGGATGAGATGCGGCCAGTGAGACAGCCACAGAGAAGACTGACACCGAACCTGGAGGCTGTGGTTCGGGCAGAGATCGTGAAGCTGCTGGACGTGGGGATCATCTTCGCCATTTTCGACAGCGAGTGGGTCAATCCCACCTAGGTGGTACCCAAAAAGGGTGGGATGACTATGGTGCCTAACGAGAAGAATGAGCTCATCCCGATGCGCACGGTGACTGGGTACCGTGTCTGCATTGATTATTAGCGCCTCAACGACGCCACTCGGAAGGACCACTTCCCGTTGCCGTTCATTGACCAGATGCTGGAGAGACTGGCGGGGCACGAGTTCTACTATTTCCTGGATGGGATGTCCGGGTACTTCCAGATACCCATTGCACCGGAGGACCAGGCGAAGACTACTTTCACATGTCCCTTCGGCACATTTGCCTACCGGAGGATCCCGTTCGGGCTATGTAACGCCCCCGCCACTTTTCAACGATGCATGCTCTCCATCTTTGACCGTCTGGTCGGCGAGATTATGGAGGTGTTTATGGATGACTTCTCGGTTTACGGAGACTCATTCTCTCACTGTCTCCATAACCTGGAACTCGTCCTTAAATGGTGTGAAGAAACGAACCTGGCACTGAGTTGGGAGAAGTGCCACTTCATGGTTCGTGAAGGCATAGTTCTGGGGCATAAGATCTCCAAGATGGGGATTGAGGTGGACAGAGGAAAGATCGAGACTATCAGCAAGCTGCCTCCTCCTACATCTGTTAAGAGGATCCGGAGTTTTTTAGGCCATGCAGAGTTCTACAGGCGGTTCATCAAGGATTTTTCGAAGATTGCCCTGCCCATGACTAAGCTTCTTGAGAAGGATGCCCCATTCCAGTTCACTGATGCATGCACAACGGCATTCACGACCTTGAAGGAGAAGCTCACTCAAGCTCCTATCATGGTTGTTCCTGATTGGTCCCTGCCATTTGAGCTGATGTGCGATGCCAGTGATTTTGCTGTTGGAGCTGTATTGGGGCAGAGGCGAGATCAGCACTTCCGACCTATCTACTACGCCTCGAAGACCCTGAATGATGCCCAGGAGAACTACACCACCACGGAGAAGGAGCTGCTCGCGGTGGTGTTTGCCTTCGATAAATTTTGTCCTTATCTGGTCTTGTCCCATGTGACCGTGTGTACAGATCACTCCGCGATTCGATACCTGATGAGCAAGGCCGATGCCAAGCCTAGGCTCATACGATGGATCTTACTATTGCAGGAGTTCGACATCGAGATTCGGGACAAGAAGGTGGACGCACCTCCTGCGGACAACCTCGAGGAGGAGATCAACGACTCTTTCCCGGATGAGAGACTGATGATGATGTACTTGGTGGAGAGTGTCACCCCTTGGTACTCCGATTTTGAGAACTATCTGGTGGGCCAGCAGCTGCCCAAGGGGATGACAACCCACGCCAAGAGAAAATTTTTCTCCGACCTGAAGCACTACTTCTTGGATGACCCTCATCTCTTCAGGATCGGAGCCGATGGGATAATCCGTCGGTGTGTTATGAAGAGTGAGATGGAGGGAATTCTATCTCACTGTCATGAATGGCCTACTGGCGGTCATCATGGAGGAAACCGCACAACAAGGAAGGTGCTACAGTCGGGCTTTTACTGGCCCACGCTCTTCAAGGACGCAGACACCTTCGCACGCAAGTGCGACCGATGCCAGAGGTCAGGTAACATCTCTACCCGTGATGAGATGCCCCAGAACGTGTTTATAACTTGTGAGATTTTTGATGTCTGGGGTATCGACTTCATGGGCCCCTTCCCTCCATCTTTTGGTAATACCTATATCCTTGTTGCTGTTGACTATGTCTCTAGGTGGGCTGAGGCGCAAGCTTTGCCCACTAATGATGCTAGACGTGTTTGTGGTTTTCTGAAGCAACTATTATCCCGGTTCGGGACACCTAGAGCCATCATAAGCGATCGAGGCACCCATTTCCAGGGCCAGTTCGATAAGTTACTGTCCCACTATGGTGTAACTCATAAGGTGTCCGTGGCCTACCACCCTCAAACAAGTGGCCAGACCGAGCTGACGAACCGGGAGCTCAAGCGTATCCTGGAGAAGACGGTGGATCAATCCCGCAAGGATTGGTCCACCAAGCTCGATGATGCTCTATGGGCATACCGCACTGCCTACAAGACGCCCATTGGTACTTCACCGTACTGGCTTGTCTATGGAAAGGCTTGCCATTTTCACGTGGAGCTAGAGAACAAGGCCTTTTGGGCCCTTAAGTTGCTAAACTTGGATGTTAGTGTTGCAGGTATTGAGCGCAAAATGCAGATGCTGGAGCTGGAGGAGTGGCGTTATCACGCCTATGAGAAAACCAAGCTGTACAAGGAGCGCACTAAGCGCCTGCACGATGCACGGTTGCGGGGTCCGAAAGAGTTCGAGGTTGGTGATCGAGTTCTCCTCTATAACTCTCGCCTGAAGCTCTTTCCCGGAAAGCTCCGTTCCCGGTGGTCTGGACCGTACACGGTCACACAGGTGTTCCCTTATGGCACGATTGAGATTGCCAACCCGCTGACTGAACCATTTAAAGTGAATGGCCATTGTCTAAAGCTCTACTTGGGAGGCGAGGTCGAACGTGCAGAGTTGGCAGTGGAATTTGCGGACCCTTAGTTCCGCCATGGGCGTCCAGCTAAAAGACGGTAAAGAAGCGCTTGTGGGGAGGCAACCCCACCACGGTTTGCATTTCTACCCTTTTTCCTTTTCATTTTTGTCGGTTTTTGAGTCTGTCTGGAGTCTGTCTAGAAAGTATTTCGTGCCTCGGGCGGTTCGTTTTAATATGTGATTGGGTAATTTTTAGAGCGGGGGCACGAATGAGTTTTGGTGGTTTGAAATTGGAATTTTGAAAAAATGCAGAATGGGCTCGGCAGTAAAAACAAGGGCGCCAGCGGAGCAAAACACGGCCGTGTTTTCTCCCCTGCCCGCCCGTGTTTTCAAAGGAGGCTTGCAATGCTCTTGGCAATAAAAACACGGGCGCTGGGATTCAAAAACACGGCCGTGTTTTGAACCCAACCTGCCCGTGTTTTCAAAGGGGGGAGGCACGCCCGCGGCAGTAAAAACACGGGCGCGGAGCATGCCAACACGGTCGTGTTCCAGCCCGCCCGTGTTTTAATCTCCCCCCTATAAAAATCGATTTTTTGCTCCTATCTCCCCCCAGAATCATTTTTTTCAAATTTCAACCGCCCCCCTCACCGGAATTTCGGGTTTCTCCTCTTATCCTTCGATTTTTCGACCATAACTCCCTCTCCCGACCTCCAAATCACAAACCGCGACCGCCCCCACGCTCCTGGCATCGAGGAGCACAATCCCCAGAGGTTAGGGTGTGTTTGGCCAAGTTCGGGTCGCCGGCGACGAGTTCTCTGGCGAGTCTCCGGTGGGTTTTCCGGCGACTTGGGGTGTTTTCTTCCACTTTCTTCACCTCTCTTGCGGTATCTACTTGCGTCTCCAGGTGTGTTTTCATTGCCTCTTATTTTATTTTTGTAGAATCGATACCTAGAGTTAGGTGAAGAATTTATGATTGTGGCATGATTTGGGAATGATTTGGTAGGCCGATGGCGCTCTTTGGTTGTTATATTTTTGTCTCGGGATTTCAGTTTTTCGGCCTACCATTTGCATGTTGGCATTGCATGCGTGCTTGTGTAGTTTTTGTATGGTGGATCGATTGGTGAATACTTGGTATGGATTTGGTGTTTGTTCCACCGGGGGCCTAGTCCACTTTCCAAATCGCTCGATTTGAGGGTCCCCGGTGTGTTTGTTTGTGTGATTCTCGTGTGATTGGTATGCTTGTTTCACCGAGAGCCTAGTCCACTGTCCATATCTTTTGATATGAGGGCTCCCAGTGTGGTTTTTGCCTAACATTGACCCTGTTCGCATGTATGCCATTTGTACATCCTTGTGCTTTGCAGGATCATGGAAGACTTCCTCGACCAGTTGAGCATCACACAACGCCATTTGCTACGGACCATCCGTACCCACCACATCTCCGAGCACCTGCATCTCGATTTTGAGGTGTTCGAGGCGCTTCATGCCAGGCCGTAGATGGAGGCTGCTGTACGCCCCTATGGTTGGCGGCGCCTTCTCTGCCTCGCCGAGCCGACCTACCAGGAGCTCGTCTGGGAGTTCTACGCATCCTTACGCCACACCCCGAGGGGGTCAGCCGACCATTCTGATGCGGTTCATTTCACGCTCGGCGGGGTGGAGCACTCCATCAGTTACTGGGAGTTGGCCTCTGCACTTTGGCTCAACTTCCCGCACCCCAGCGACCGACCCCTGTACGTGGACATAACTGATCCCACCAACTTTGCTTCCCAGGTCTACTTCCAGCGCATCTGCCTGCCGAACCATGTGGATGAGCAATACGTTGCCAGCCAGACGCGTGCCACTCTCCTCCGTCCGGAGTGGCGGATCCTTAACCATTTGCTCACCCAGTCCTACACCCCCAGCCGAGGGTCATCCAACCGGGTCACACTCCGGACACTGTTCTTCATGCATGCGATGGGTCGTTCTGAGGACACCATCGAGCTAGGCTCTGTGCTTGCCCGGACTTTCACCAAAGCTTCCGCCAGCCAGGATCGCAACCTTGTCTGTGGCCCAGTGATCACCGCCGTAGCCCGCTACTACGGGGTCGACACCACTAGGATGACCATGGTCCGAGGACCGACCCCGTTCAGCGAAGTCGTCCTCCGCCATCAGCATATGGTTGCTCGCCAAGGGCGTGTGCACTGGATTGTGGGCCTCCCTCGTCCACCTGAACCTGCAGAGGGCGACCAGCCAGAGTCGAGCGCAGCTGGGGGACGCCGGGTTCCTCGTTGTACTGTTCGTCGGGCCCAGACTCCTGCGAGCCCCTCCGCTGCTCCTAGGTCTCCTACTTCTGGGTCTCCTGCTCCCGTGGTGCCCATTTCTGACCAGTTGGGGGCAATCGCTCAGCAGAACGAGCGCATTCTGGTCGGCCAGGCGAGCATTCACACCCGCCTCGATCGTGAGCGGGACCGCGGCCATCGTCTTATGTCCGTCCAACACTACATCATGTCGTACCTGGGCTTGGACCCGAACGCAGTCCACTACCCCTTCGTGCAGTCACCAGGGTATGAGGACGAGTACCCTCCACCCACCGACGATGGTGGCGATGCGTTCTAGTGGCGAGTGGCTAGTTCTGCACTTCACATGTTTTCCCAGACTGAGACTCCATTTTTTTGTTGTTTCGTTTTGTTTTATATTTTTTTTATTTTGGATTGTAGACTTGGAACTCCGGTTCTTTCACCCGATGTGTGTCTTTTGTTGACTTTAGCTCTGTGCCTTGGGCTGGTTCCCCTTTCAGCCCCCTGCTATTGACTGGTCTGCCTCCCAGTCCCCGTTCCTGATCTCATTTCACGATAACATCGTTCCCCTTCCCTCTGCTCCACCGAGGACACTGTCGCATTTAAGTGTGTGTGTGTGGGGGGGGGGTTCTTTGTATTAATTGGAACGTATATATGTGTGCTTGGAGCCTAGTCTGCTGTCCAAATCTCGAGATTTGAGGGCTCCAAGCACTGCTGTTTGCTTGTTGTTTGATCGTATTGGCATTGTGGATGTGATTAGTGAATTGAATGGCTTTTGACGTAATGCATGACAACTTGAGTGTGACTAAGACAACTTATTATGATGACTGAGATGTGCAGTAGAACTGTGTAGGGATTCAGTTTTTCAACTGTTTGCTTACTAACTGTGACTTGGATTGATCACTTGCTCTTGACAGTCATTTATGCATCTAGTTCAGGGAATCAGAATGAGAGATAGAGCATATAGGTAGCCATGTGAGACTTGAGCCTGCTCGTTTCTTTCTTGTGCGATAGTTCCCTCTTCCATGATGTGCAGCATTCACGTTGTCATTATCTAAGATGGAGGCGTAGGATTAGCCCACGACCAAATTGGCTGTCCTGATTTGTCATACCCCCTAGTCAGCCCTTTGAGCCGTGTGTTATCTTTTCTTCCGGTCTAAATGGAAAATCACCCTTTTGCATCTTTTAGAAGGTTCCCCTGAGTGGTTTCTCCATGTTTTCTGCTGTTTCTGGTAAATGTAATGTGAGAGTTGGAGGTAGTTCTTGAAAATAAAAAGGGCATGTGTTTGCAAAAATGTGCATAGGTGGTTGTTCTCTCAAGAAATGAAAAAAAAAAGAAAAAAGTGAATGAAAGCAAAAGAGAGCCACCACCACAAAATCTGATGCGCCCATTGAGTAGTGTTTCTTAGCAGTGTGGCTGGGAAATACTAAGTTTTAGGTGACCTCCTTCGCTCTTGTGCTCTAATTAATGTGAGTAACGCAGAATGGCAGAAAGAAAGAGTGGTTTGATTGACAGTGAGTGTGTTGGGTTTGGAAATGTGGAACCTTGTGCTATGAATATTTCCACCACCTAAAAAGGCCTTTTCCCCATGTCCAAGACCCTAGCCAGTCATCTGAACCTGTGTCAAAGACCTCCGGATTAGTTAGTGGTGACACCCCATATGTGAACTCTAGCATTTAGAGGCTGCCTTCATCGTGAAGAGACGTTATGGATTGAGAGAATAAGCATGCGCATTTTTCGCATCAAATTGTCCTGACCCCACTGTACGAGAGTGAGCGATTCATTTTCTCATATTCTCTATACTCTTTATCTCGGTGAGGACCTAGATTGCTCGATCTTAATTCTGATATCTTGAGCTTTGTGCATGAAGTGACTGTCTGGAATAAGTGGTTGAGTCAAGTCTATGTTGGTTGGGGAACAGAAGGGAGACTCTTCCTTTGCTCGACTTTACTGCATTCGAATGTCACCTGTGGTGGTTGTCTAGGTTGTCGTTGAGGTTGTCCATGTGTTAATGATCAAAAGAAGTATGATCCACGTTTTTTGTGCCGATATGATAGGCCCTAAAGCCTGCTTGATTGAAACGTTTTGAGCTTACCTTGTGTCTGACTTGGTTTGCTTGGGGACAAGCAAACGGTTAAGTGTGGGGGGATTTGATAACGATGTAATTGCACATGTTTGCACCCCTAGTTCTTATCCGTTTGTGGGGCATAGTCGTGTATTTTTGGCCAATTTTACGTCGGGTTGTGCTACTTTGTCATATTTCAGGTCCCGGAAGTCGAAGGAAAGGCTAAGCAAGAGTTTCAGGGCATTCGGAAGTCATTCGGTCGAGCTGGAGCCAAAGCACGGGCGCGCCTAAATCAAAGCACGGCCGTGTTCCTGGACCGTGTTTTTACTGCCGAGGCTTGATCCAAGATTGTCCAACGCTGGCCCAAAACACGGGCGGGACTGACTCAAAACACGGTCGTGTCCAACATTAGGCACGACCCTGTTTTCCTAAAAAATCTGGCCGTGTTTTTAACACGTGGCAAGGGCACGGGCGGGCAGGAGCAAAGCACGACCGTGTTTTGCCCAGTGATGCCCTTTTAGGCAGATTTGAGCCAAAAGAGAAAGGGTTCCGATTTTTAGAGAGACAGAGCGATTCCTAGAGAGAGAAAGCGACGAACCAGAGTTCCCAAGTGCCCTAGCTTGATCTTCATCACCATTGGAGCTCGGCTTACACTTGGAGAAGTGCCGATTGACGGCCAGGAGCAAAACCCATCCTTCACAAGATAATTTCCGCATCTGAATCTGCTTTTGCTTCTCTCTCCATGGAGTAGTTTTCCCATTCATCTGGGTATGGAGAACCCTAGATTTGTATGTTAGGTCTGATTGTATGAACCCAAGTATAGATTTTATGATTTGATTATATTCAATTGAGGCTTGAATGATTGAATGACTTGAATCCTGATCAAATTCCTGTTATTTCTGCTATTGCCTAGAAAGAGAATATCTGCCTAGGTTAATAGAGCACCCTTAATTGAAGGTAGTGAATTGGCGACTTTAGTCGAAGAGCCAGTTCACTATTCTGTACCGAATTTACTTTGGTAGTGGAGGTTTGGTTCGTTAGGGCCTCAATCTGTTTACTACGGTGGAGGTTAGTCGCCCGCTGGGGACTCAGATTGAGAGGGTCTGGAGACCTTTAGTCGAGACTTCAGACTGTTTAAGAACCTCCCGCAGTATAACTATCATTAAAACTGAACTTGGTAAATTGCAATCCGGCTTAACTGCAGTCTAGGGGGAACCATATCCGGGTGACCTCTCTCGACTTGAAAACGACCGTTTAGTTGCTTGCTTTAGTTGTTTGCTTGTTTGAACCTACACTAAAGTTTCACCGCTAGATAATAAGAATTCGCTGAGTAGTCATCACATCTAGGACCCGGGTTGACATTAAAACCCAAACCCGCTATACTATGCTTTAGGAAGTGGTTGCACTTGTCCATTTTCTAGAGTGACAGTAGGAGTGAGTTACTGGCGCAGTGGTTCCTTTTGTCGGACCACGAGTTAATACAGTCCAGAATGGACTACTTTACCACAAAGGGGCCATGTATGTGGAATCTCAAGGTCAGATGAGGGTTCAATTGTTACAATTGTTCCACGGCTCTCCTGTAGGGGGTATTCTGGTCTCCAGGCCTCTTACCAACGTCTTAAGCAGTATTTTTGGTGGCCGAGTATAAAGAGGCAGTTTAAAGTGTTCATTCAGCAGTGTGACATTTGTCAACGTTGCAAGACTGAGACAGTCCTTTATCCTGGGCTGTTACAGCCTCTTCCCATTCCTGAGAGGGCGTGGCAGCATATATCGATGGACTTCATTGATGGTTTGCCCCGATCAGGAGGCAAGGAGGTGGTGTTCGTAGTGATTGACAGTTTTTCAAAATATGGTCATTTTTTCAGTTTGACCAGGCCTTATTTTGCAGCATCAGTAGCTCAAGTCTTCTTCGAGGGTGTGTTCAAATTGCATGGTTTACCACAGACCATTGTGTCCGACCGAGATGCTATATTCACCAGTACATTCTAGACTAAGCTCTTTGAGTTGCAGGGGGTAGATCTCCACTATTCTACAGCCTATCACCCTCAAACCGATGGTCGGATGGAGAGGCTTAACAGATGCTTGGAGGATTATTTGCGAAGCATGGTTCATCACTCTCCACAGTCTTGGCACAGTTGGTTGCCTCTTGCTGAATGGTGGTATAATACGAACTACCACAGCAGCTTGCAGATTTCACCGTTTGAAGCTATATATGGGTACTGCCCAGCTCAGTTTGCTCTCAAACACCCTCTGTCCACATCAGTAGCAGCTGTGTCTGACAAGTTACACCAATAGCAGAAGTTAGTGGGCATTTTGAGGGAGAACCTGGCAATGGCACAGAATCGCCAAAAACAAATGGCTGATCGTCACAAGACTGAGCGTGAATTTCAAGTGGAAGATCAGGTGTACTTGAAGTTGAGGCCTTACAGAAAAATGTCAGTTCAGCAGCGGGCAAATCAGATGCTATCCCCTAAGTACTATGGTCCTTTTCTAGTCTTGAAGAAGATAGGGGTAGTTGCTTACCGCCTTCAGCTTCCAGTCACTTCGACCATACATCCTGTTTTTCATGTGTCTTTACTTAAGCAGGCTAAGGGTGCTCCAGTGGTGACTCAGCCAGCCTTACCAGACTATGATAACAGTGGGGAGTTAAAGGTTGAGCCTCTGAAGATTGTGGCCAGGCGCTTGGTGGCCAAGAACAATAGAGCTGCTACTCAATTGTTGGTTCAATGGACCCACCAGGCTAAAGAAAATTCTACTTGGGAATATCTGGAAGAGATTCAAGCAAAGTTTCCTCACTTTAAGACTTGAGGACAAGTCTTCTGCGAAGGAAGGGGGAGTGGTAATGATCAGGGATTTAACTGTACAAAATTTGGATTGGAAGAATTACATTGTAAGTACTGGGTAGAAAGACAGAAGGACCAAATGGCAATTAGCCTGCCAGATCAGTATATAGCAAGAATACTGTACAACGGATAATAAACACGAATAACAGAATTTCCTTCTCTCTTACTTTACTCTTTCCTCTCTCTCTCTCTCTCTCTCTCTCTCTCTCTCTCTCTCTGTCTGTCTCCTTCTCCTTCTACTGCTTCCCCAATCTTCCTCTACTCACCATCTTTGCCGTCGAGCATTTCCAGGTCGATTGTTGCAGTTTATCATATATGAGTCCAAAGGGCGAAGGTTTATTATATATGAGCAGCAAGAAAGCTCGTAAAGAGACAGCAGCAACAGCGATCACTAACCGGCTTGCTCATAGTTAAGAGTGGCATTTCTCCAATCAGCACTCCACCTTGTAAGGGTCAGCTTTGTTCTATTGAAAATAACAAAGTAACCAACGATCAGACACCATAATCACTAGGAGCGGAAATCTGAAACTGAGAGTCGATAAATTTCAAAACTGCCGCCAAAATTTGCTTCAGTTACCTACTGCTAAAGCGGGCAATTAGAATGAAGTAGCAGTAATAGGTTTCCTGAATCGCGAAAAGCTCGACTCCATTGGCAGATATGTATAAGATTCTAATCCACGATCCAATTGCTCGAGGATTAGTAGCGATACTGTTAGTGTTGTGGTATATGATTTATGATTGAACCTCTCCCAACAACTCAAGTTATTGGGATCAACTGGTTCTTGACATGGTATCAGAGCCTCCTGTGATCGAGAGGTCTTGTGTTCGATTCTCGGTGACCCCCATTTGTTAAGCACATGTTTTCAGACCTGTGCAAACTTCAAGCCCTTGTGAGTGGCTTTCGTTTGAGGGGGCGTGTTAGTGTTGTGGTATATGATTCACGATTGAACCTCTCCTAACAACTCGAGTTATTGGGATCAACTGGTTCTTGACATACGACAGATTGGATCCCAGAACATACAAATTCAGAGAGATGTAACAAACGAGACTAAGATGCAAACTCGTTAAGAATAGGGAGTGGAATGTAATTGAGTAACAAGTATAAATAGGGCCCTCTTGTATTGAGCTCAATATCGAATACAGTAACAAAATTTGCTTCCTTCCTCTGCTCTCTCTATTCTTCTCCTTCTTCTGCCTTTCTTGCTTTCTCTTCTTTCTTCTCTTTCTCTATCACTCATTCTGCAGATCCTTCTCCTAATCTCTATTGCTTTCTTGGTAAATGTCAACTATCAACACGAGATTGGATGGTATGGCAGACCAAATGGATCGCCGATTCGATCAATTGGAAGAACGACTTGACCAAATCTTGTTGTGTAGTCCAGAGCTGCGTCGTCCTGGTTTTGTGGATTCATGTAATTTTCGCTGATAGTACACCGAGACAAATATGTTCCTCATGATCCCCCTCAGCTCAGTCCAGGTCTCGATCTCTGGCTGCATAGTCTGCTATCACCGGAGTCGGATTTGCTCCCACCATTGGCCAGCATAATCTGTAAATTCATACGTTGCCAAGAGAACCTTCTGTTGCTCCGTATAATTCCCACATTGGAAGAAAAGAATCACTTTTCTTTCCCAATCAAGGTAATTAGAGGCGTTGTTAGAGCCAGTAAAAGAGGGAATTGTCAATTTTACTCCTCGAAGTTCTGTATTGGTGGTTTCAGGGGGTCGACGATCGTGATTGCGGAAGTCATGGGTGTTGTCACGGGGACCATGCTTTGTAGCAATCAGCCGTCGTTCCAATTGCTGAACACATTCTGCGAGAGCCAGCTCAGCCTCGGTGTGCATCACTTGGGTTTTGATTCCCCTCTAGTGATTCTTCGTGCATTGTGTTTAGAGGAGCAGGGGCGTTTGTCGTTGACTTCAATTCGGCAATTTCGCCCCTGATGTAATCGAATTGGACCTGAAAGGTCGCATTCGTGTGAGAGATGATGGTCTCTAGCAGTTTCGTGGTGTTTAGAGGAGGGTCACTCATCGTTCGACCTTCAAATTGATCCTCCTTGTTGGACTTAGTCGAACCCTCTGTTTTTTGTAAAACTGCTGCAGGGTCGTCCGAGACGGGACCTTTTGATCTCGTCTAAGGCGTTGTCTTCTCCGTCTTGATCACTGTATTTGAACGTGGCTCTTATACCACTTGATGAGACCCTAGATGGGTCTTTGGTATTCAGAATCGTGCAACAACGAATTGAGTTCAACTCAATCCCAAACTTGAACCAATAGGGGGTGAATTGATGGTTATGGATGGTCGATCTCGTGCAATTCCACACAACGGGGAAAGGCTCTAAGTAGATAGGTAGAAGCTAGGCCACGAACAAGGTGTTTACTTGTTCGATACAAGCTTACAAACCACTTGGAATCCACCAAGCAATTCAATCAACTCACGAAGCAATTTTGTGAATCGAAAACTTGAAGTTTCGATTCAATTGCGAGAAATCTAACGCTTACCATGAATTGAATTCCTTAAATAGACCTAGGCTAACTTATTAAACTTTGCTGGAAGTCCTTAACACAATCAAACACAAAAATCTAACTCAAAACAGAAAAGGTAAAATATTGAAGAAGAAATCCTAATCCAAGTAGGATTCGGATTACTGACAAGACAGTCCTCCAATCCAAGCTTCCTATGATCTTGGCGCTCTTCATTTGAAGCCTTCGAGATACGACTCCCTTCATCCAATGCCTCTAGTTTGTAGAAGAAAACCCCTACTTTCATGTGGCATAACCCTCTTGGATCGATTCCTATCCATCTACTCCGAATAAGCCTCCAAAGTGAGCTTTCCGAGCTGCCTTCCATACTTGGCCAAAAACTAGCAGTTTCCCAATTTCAGCATAAGGTTTTGCCAGACTTGAAAAGCAGCCTTGTTGACATCTTCTCGAGCATCCAAGCTTTTCCCATTTGGAGAGGAACATTCCATCTTCCAAACAAACCACTAATCCCTCATTTTCATCGAGCCATTTGTGACGACCAAGCTTACCAAGTAGGCTACCTGAAAACGTGTGCTAAATGATGTGACTGATATTGTATGGTAAAATAAAGGTGTTCTAGAACCGTGGAATGTGAAGTGTGATGTTAGAGTTACAAGGTAGCGATAGAGGTGTTATGACCACCTAGAGATGGTTCAATGATCGATTATCGTGAAATCATAAATTGGAACCATAAGCAGCGAGAGCTAGAAGTATATGACGTATAACTTATTAGAAGTATAGGGGTCAATTGTAACTTAACCATTTAATCCATATTCATTTAGGAGTGTGTTTGGCGGGTGAGATAGGGTTTATGGGACCACTAGTTAAATAGATGTAGCTGACCAGTTCTATAACCTAAGGATTCTCGGTGAAATACAATTGACTTTGAGAGGTTGCTCCTCTCCGTAGATCAGTCTCAATGACAATCGTTGATGATACCACGTAAATCCTGTGTGTGATTATCCTTTGTTTGATATTCCGTTTGACATGGTATCTGAGCCTATCCTCGGATCCTAGGTTTTGCTTCGCTGAGCTTGGTTTGTGGCTGCCTCCCTTCTAGTTTTTTGGGGGTTCTTTGAGTTTGGTGATGCGGTCCGTGTGTTGGGTTTTCTTGTGACAACACTCTCTTCGGTTCCCTTGTTGCGTAGGGTTTTTGGGATTTGGTGAGTCTCTTTTGCTAAAAAATGGATAAGGTTGCGGTGAGTTTAGTGGCAATAATTTCTCTTTGTAGGAGCTACAATTCCGTCTCTTTATCCAAGGGCGCTGCCTCGCGGGTATTCTTGATGGAACTCTTGTTGCGCCTGCGAATGATGTTGCGACAAAGGATAAAGAGGATTAGAATGTTCATAATGCGTAGGTTATGGTATGACTTCTCTCGTTTGTCGAGCCGCAGATTGCCCTGAGCTTGCGAGGTTTTTCTACTGCCTGTGAGATGTGGCAACATATTTCGGCAGTTCATTCGTAGTCTAGTCCGTCCCGAAAGTTTGAAATTGAGTTTGATCTGGCTAAGTTGCATCAAGGCAACCTTGATGTTCGGTCGGATTATCAGGCTACTGTCAGTTTATGGATGGAGCAGGATCTTTTAACCTCGTCATTGGTCACGTTGGCTGCTTCAGCTGAGGTTTTACAGGAGAGGACAAGTTCTCGGGTGATGCAGTTTCTTATGAAGATGCACGGTGAGTTTGAAGGTATTCGTGCTTCTTTGTTGCATTGCAATGTTACCAAAATGGAGGACATCTTAGGGGAAATTGTTCGGGAGGATACGAGGTTGCGGAGTTAGGCAAAGAAGAAGGCTGCAAGTGTTACTTCGGCCTATGCAGTTGACCAAGATCGGCCAAGGTTCCCCTAACTCCTCTTCTGCTTTTGCTGTTACGTATCATTCCACCGAGAAGAAGGCTGCAAGTGTGACTTCAGCCTATGCGGCTGGCCAAGATCGGCCAAGGTTTATGCTATTTGCTTTTTATGTAAGGAGTCTGGGCACATTCAGTCTTAATGCCCGAAGAAGACCGCATGAAACTACTGCAAGGCCTCTGGCCATAAAATTGGTGACTGCCTGATCCTGGCGAAGCGTGGTTGTGGTTGGTCATCTAGCTCGGGCTCGTCTGGTGCCTCTCGAACTGCCTCCTCAGGACCTACTTATGCGACTGCCGTGATTCTTGCTTCAACTACTTATTCTTCTTCTTCGACAGGTGGGGTCTCTCCTGAGTACATCCATCAGCTAGTTCAGGATGCTAGCTCTAGGCTCGATACTCACAGCTGGTATGCTCTTTCATTCTTCTTCCTCTTGCCATCTTGATTCTACAGCATTTAATCACATGACTAGTTCTCGTTCTTCGTTTCATACTTTTCGTCCTAACTCGTCTATCATGTTACAAGTGGCTGATAGTACTTCTTTACCTGCTGAGGGTATTGGTGATATTCGTCATCATGGGTTGCAGCTTTCTGATACGTTATATGTAACCCGGCTTGTTCCCAGTCTCGTGTCCGTGGGACAGCTCACTAAGGACGGCTGGCGCATTATCTTTGATGCACGTGGTTGTATTGTGCCGGACACGAGCACGGGGAAGGAGATAGGCCACGAGAGTAAGCGGGGACATGTTTTTACTCTGATCGTTACTCTAGATCGTTGGCGAGGGATGTTGGGGTTGCTGATTTGGTGCGATCAAGAGGGGAGAGCGAGACTAGAGTGTTTGGGGGTGTTTCTGATATGTTGGGTTATTGTGTTAAGTTGTCGAACTGAGATTTATGGCACCGCCGTTTGGACCATCCTCATATGGCACGTTTGTTAGAAATGTTTAAACACAAATCGTTATTTGGTAGTTTTAAATGGATTCTGGTGATTGTGTTACGTGCTTAGAAGCCAAAATGGCTCAACATTGCTTTACCTCGAGATCCACTGTTCATTCTGACCCATTTGATCTAGTTTTCATAGATTTTGTGGGGTCCATCCCCAGTGACTTCTCGGGTTGGATTCCGATATTTTGTTCTGTTCGTTGATTATGCTACTCGGTATGCATAGGTTTGTTTCCTACGTCGCAAGTCGGATTTGCTTGTAGCGGCTAAGGAATTTCTAGTTATGGTGAGGACTCAGTTTGGTCGGGTGGTGAAAGTTCTACGATCTGATCCTGGTGGCGAGTTCACTTCTGGTCCCTTGCAGGATGCTCTCAAAGAATATGGGATTTACCTCAACAATCTTGACTGGGTGTCTCTTAGGAAAATTGACTGGTTGAGCTTAAGCATCGCCATTTTTTTAACTTACTTGTGCTCTTTTGTTTCAGTCCTCCGTGCCATCTAGCTTCTGGGTTGAAGCTATTCATTTTGTGTTCTACTTGATAAATCGGCAACTAATACCGATCCTTGCTCACAGGAGTCCGTATGAGGTATTGTATGGGAAAAGACCAGATTATACCTGGTTGCGTGTGTTTGGATGTGTCTGGTATGTTCTTCTACCTCGTCGTGAGCCCCATAAGTTGGCTCCTAAGGTTCTCAAGTGTGTTTTTGTGGGCTAAATGGCAAGCATAAAGGTTATGTATGCTACGATGTTCAGAATTTTCGTCTTTGTATTTCTTTTCACGTCGCTTTTTTGAGCATCTTTCGTATTATGGAGCTGTGGGGTTGGATCCGTCGACTGATTTGGAGTTCCTTAATCCCTTGTCGTCGTTTCCTACTGCAGCTATCCCAATGTTGAATGATCCTGGCCCTCGGTCTCCATAGCCCATGTTGTTGTCCATACAAATGGACATGACCTCCTATGCGTCAGGTTTTGCTACGGAAATGGGATCTTCTAGTTCATCCCCTTCCACTTCTGCTTCGGGACCCTCTCGTTCCACTTCCAGCCATTGGTCCGAGCCCTCCCATAGTGCATCTGCTTCATCGTCATCCACTGATCATGATGAAGAATCCAAACTTTATCCTCATCTTCTTCAAGAGGAAGAGCCTCCACTTTTGTGTCGATCACTGCGCTCCACGAAAGGCAATCCCCCACCTGATATGTCTGACTTTGTAGCTTTCTCCACTACTCCCATCCCGAGGTTCCATGATACTATTATGTCAGCAGGATTACGTCAAAGTGATGATGATCCCACTTTGTTCCTTCGACGTTCTCCTTGTGGTCTTACAATCTTGCTTATTTATGTTGATTACATGGTGGTGAGTGGTGATGACACTGCAGGTATACAGTCTCTTATTCACACCTTACGAATTGCGTTTAATTTGAAAGAGCTTAGAGATGTGCCTACTTGCTAGTCAGCAGTATATCTATGATCGCTGTTACTCGGATTCTGCACTATTTGCGTGGTACAACAGATGTTGGATTATTCTTTCATGCGACTGAAGACCTTGTGATCGAGGCATATGCTGATGTGGATTATACTGGGTGTTTGGATACTCGACGTTCAACTTCGGGATGGTGTGTGAAGATTGGTTCTTCTTTTGTGTCCTGCATTGTAAGAAGCAGGAAAGGATCTCGAAATCTTCTACAGAGGCCGAGTATAGATCAATGTCCGAGGTCACTTTATGAGCTTGTCTAGCTTCGGTGATTAGTATTTGAACTTGGGATGCCGTGTGTCTTGCCCATGCTCTTGCATGCAGTCCTACTCACGAAGGTTGTTGCGTCTTCTCGTCATTGGTTTTTGGTGTACAAATTGATGTTGCGTAAACATCATCAATTTGAGGGAGGGTGTTAGAAGTATAGGGGTCAATTATAAATTAGGTTTAATTCACCCGCATAGCCATAACTTTCACGGTTTTGACAAATATAGCCACTTTTTGAAAAATACACAAATATAGCCACACTTTTGAAACTAAATTGACAACTTTAGCCATTTTCGTTAAATACTTTAACGTCGTTAGTAACTCTCTGAAAAACTTGGATGTTATGCTGATGTGGACGCCACCTTGACACCCACGTCAACTCTCACTCCACATGGCATGCCACGTCATATTTTAAATTAAAAAATATTTTTTTTGAAATTTTAATTAAAAAAATTGTGATTCCTTTGCCGCTCGACAGTAGCTTAGAGGTAAAATCCTCTTTCTCGCTGGAAGCTTCTAAGCCGAATCAGAGCAGGCAATCGGAGAGGTGATGAAATTGGGGGATGCAGCTCCGACAGGGGCGAGAGGCTAGAGTTCGGCCGCCTTCAATGTCTAGAGTTCGGCCCCCTTCAATTGGGGGATGCAGCTCCAACAGGGGCGAGAGGCTAGAGTTCTCCATGGAAGTTTCCTTCCTCCGATGAGGTGGAATCCAAATTAAAGAGAATCATCAGAGAGGGGATGTGATTGGGTCGGTAAATCAAGGTTTCTCAGGGCCTAGAGTTCGGCCCCTTTCAATGGCGATTCTCAAACCTTGGCATCTGGTAATCCCCAAATCGACCGATTCTACCTATTTCTCCCCTTGTCAGGCCACAATCACAAAACCCACAAAAACCCATCTCTCCGAATTCGATTTCGAGCAAGAAATATCACCAATCTCTCTTCTCCCTCTCCTCCCCTTCCTCTCTCCACCTCCCACCACCCGCATCGCGACGGCGGCTAAAGAAAGTTGAAGTCTATGCTAATCGATGATTCAAGGTACGGCAAAAAGGAAGAGGACAAAGTGTCTGGCGGAGGCTGGGTTTGCGTTGTTGACGATTGAAGGGAGGGGATGCTCAACGACCATTCAGGGAGCTGACTGGCAGAGGCGCAGTATGCAGCGGCCA